GGAGTAGGAGGACGTCTTATTCAGAGCGATTATATGACTATTTTGAAAGAAATCGTTGCTCCTGATTAGGATAAAGATTACGTATTAATCGAAGATAATGACGGGCCTCATGGTACCAAGGGCAAGGGTCCTAACAAGGTTAAAGCACTCAAGGACCTTCTAGGGATCAAATAGGAGATGAACCCTGCTAATTCGCCTGATCTCAACCCTATTGAGACAATCTAGAGAATAATAAAGCAGCGCTTGAAGTCCAGGGGGGTCATCTTCAAAGAAGCTGTTCTGCGCAGGGCTATCCAGGAGGAGTGGGATAAAATAACTCTGGATGAGATTAATAGGGCTATCTCAACAATGCCAGATAGAGTAGCTGCCCTAAATGAGCGAAATGGGCGTCCTATCCCCTATTAAAGGGGTGTGTAGCATAGCAGGAATCTGAGAACTCCCGTAAATTTTGGCGCCAAGCTTCGGCCCCATCGGCCCCTTGGATTCTCGTCGAAGGCCCGGAGGGACTCGTGAGCCCTTAACTTGAACCCTCTTCTTTGCCTAAGCAATCCACTCTGATCTAGATCCTGATCACCATCAACAGAAGGGTGATATTTCTCAACATAAATCATACTGAGCGGCTACAAAAACAACCTGCACCACGCATCACACGATGTACCAAGTTTCTAACAGAGAGAAAGCAGTAAGTCAGACTATCAACATCTAGAATATACGATACTCCTTGTGAGGATGTTTGATTCCTCTTCACCTCTTCGCATTGGCTACGTGCCGGAACATTACCTCCTACCTCTCCATCTCTCTACCTTTCCATTCCCTGTCCAGCTCGTGCCATTCCCGTCCGGTACAGGCCACATGATTACGTCTTTCCGCTCCGACTCCATTGATCTCGCAATCGGACTTACAGAAGGCTGGGTAGCAGGTCTTCTCACCCCACAAGGACAGAGAGAGAGGGGATACAAGATCGTCGGGAGATGGGTACAAAATCCACTACGATGGGCGATAGTTACGGGCAGGAACAGAGAGGACATCGGTGGCCTCGCCGACCTACAGACTCACAGGAAGGTTGGTGTCAGCAGGCTAGGAAGCGGTAGTCATATCATGGCTTCTGTGCTGGCGCAACAGGAAGGATGGAGCTCATCTTCGGGACAATCTAAGACTCTTGACATCGTCCCATTAGGCCCCTTATCCGACCTGATCGCTGGCGTCACCGGAAAAGAATGTGCAGATCCCACAGCAGATTTCTTCATGTGGGAGCATTTCACCACCAAACCACATTTCCATCCCAAGGGCTCGCCGCTTAAGAAGATTGGAGAAATCTACACGCCGTGGCCGAGCTGGCACATTGCGGCGAGTGAGAAGAGGTTCCCCAGACCAGAAAGTGATGAGATGTTGGCTAAAGTATTCGAGGTGCTTGATCGAGGCATCAAGAGGTTCAATAGTGACGCTGAGGTTGGTGTCAGGATGCTGGGGACCGGAGAGCTAGGATGCTATTATAGCGAGGTAGATGCCAGGGAATGGTTGACAAAGGCCAAGTTTGTGGATGAGACTAGAGGGGTCGATAGGCAAGTTTTGGCCGAGGTCGTCAAAGTCTTGCAGGGCGCTGGAGTGGTTGATACGGATACGTCTATCACCAATGGTGATGGTGTGATTGGTATCGAGAAGACGTGAAATCTCAGCTCAGTGCTCCCATTGCTCTCCCAAGAAAACATGTCACGCTAAAGAGCCGTTTCAAGCTCAGGAAGCTGGCTTTACTTCGCACGAGTCACCCTGAAATAGGATACTAGTATCTGGCTCAATCGGGGAGGTCTCCGATCATGAAGCGTCGCTATGACGATGTTCTGCTCCGACGACGGCCGCATGGTAAATATACACAGCGCCCGGGAAGATTGACTTCCAAATCGATTGCTGGTACTAGTATTTCTGTAAGGACTTCTCTTTATCTACCCCAAATCCTCTTTTCCAAGAGCCGAAGACTGAAGTATGGAGCTCCGATATGGTTACTACTTAGAGACCAATGCTATCAGCATAAACATTAGCAACGAAGATCCTCCAGCAGCCAAGGCAAAAATCGGGTACTCTAGTAGTACTCAAGGTTGCGTGCTCAAACGACTTCCACGGCTCTCACTCTTCATGGATCGCATTACCACCTCTTTTTCCGCAATCGACCACAGGACATGGCTTTCCGCTCGCCCGGGATCTACGCGATCGGGTCTAGCGCCGTCCAGAGAGGGATCGCGCTGGCCCGCCGCTTTTATCGGCCCCTCCCTGCCATCCTCCAATGTCGCCGTCCTTCGTCTCGCGAAAGTAGGATTATTTTCCGCTCAAGAGTGCACGCCATAGGGTACCAGCTTCCTCGAAATGCATTACGGCGCTGCAAGAGTTCGTTATAGACTCTTTACCTTTTACGTGGCATAGCCAAAAGTCGTCGTGAACCCTCACCTTTTCGGGTAACATAGCCAAAAGGCCGCAACAAACTTTCACCTCTCGCGTACCATAGCTCTCATCTACCAACCCTGAGAATAGCTTGGCTAGATCTTTGCTACGTTGTCGAGATCGGGAAAGCGGCAGGGCAAGGCTGGCAATCGGACGATTGGTGGTTCCTCATCGACTGCTTCTGGCTTCTTCCTCGAGATCGGGCGTTCTTCAGCAATCACCATTGGAAGAAATATGTCTTGAACCGGCCTGTAGCAGCTGAAACCGGATGAACTAGCTTGAATGGACCCTGAGGCGCGGCTTGTATAAACCCATATGGAAATCCGTACGCTCGAATGGTTCATGCCTCAGCCAATCACAGACAGCATCAAGCAACTCACTCATGTCGGGAACATCTCCGACAATTTAGTTAAACAACGTGGCCGTTTGAGTGGAAGGACCTTTTAAACCTTGATACATAAACTTTAGGGACCGAAGCTTGGCGCCAAAATTTACGGGACTTCTCAGATTCCTGCTATGCTACACGGCTATTTAATAAAGGATAGGGCGCCCATTTCGCTCGTTTAGGGCAGCTACTCTATCTGGTGTGATGGATGGAGTATCTCCTCTGCTATGGCGCAGGAAATACACGGGACCAGCCACGCACTCGGATGGCAGCGCCGATGGCGTATCCACAACGGCACGCGGAACTCTTGCCGTCAAGCTACTATGCCGCCGATAGAGGCATCCGTACGGCACGTGGCTCCCCGTACGAGTACCATGGAACAGGAGATTGATACGACCCCTTTAGGGAAGTACAATCTCCTCCAGAGGGAAGCTACCGCTTCTGGCCCTGCAGATACTCCGTCGGATCCTCTGCGCAGGTTAACTAGTAGCACCCCTTGTGTACGATGGAGGAGTATATAGAGTAGAGCGCTGGCCGCACTGTAGATAGACTCCTCAGCTTACGTTTTAGCAATCTATGGACTATTGACTTGTTCTAGTTCCGAGCCATTGCATCTGGCATCGTTGAGATAGCCCTATTAATCTCCTCGATGGTTATTTTATCCCACTCCTCTTGGATGGCGCGGCGCAGAATGGCTTCTTCGAAGATGACCCCCCTGGACTTCAACAACCTCTGCTTGATTATTCTCTAAATAGTCTCAATAGGGTTGAGATCTAGCGAATTCAGAGGATTTGATTCCTATTAGATATTAAGGCGGGTTTTGAGAGCTTTAACTTTATTAAATCCTTTGCCTTTTGTTCTATAAGGCTTATTATTATCTTTAATCAAAACGCAATTCTTATCCTACTCAGAAGCGACGATTTGCTCAAGAATAATTATGTAATCAGTTTGAACAAGCTGTCTTCATATATCAGAGCTAGTATAAAAGTAGAGCTGACTCTTGAAATTCTATCTAATAATGTTATATATATACTAATTAATTCTAGCGTTTTAATTTAAATTAAGTCTTTAAAAGAGCATTTCAAGGTTTATAACCCTTTTAATAATAAATTTAAATTTATTATTATAAATAAATAGTAATTTAAGACTAGTTATATTATTAAAACTTCTTAAACATATTAAATTACTAATATTAATATTTAAATCTCTATATAATTTAAACATTAATATAGAATTATAAGAGTATTTTTTTTCTATATAGCTATATAAGTCTTTATACCAAAATTCTTTATATTTCTTTAAATTATATATTCAAAGTTATTAACTATACTAATAATCTTTGCTACCCTGAAATAACTTACCAAAGCAAAGCCAAAATTGGCATCTTCAATAGCCTTGATAGCTTCATATTCATGTAGAGCAAGTATCTTTTTGCGACCTTGATTATGAATTTCTCACTGCGGCGCGCAGTTCTTTCTTGAATGATTCGATAGCCAGTTGTTCTAGATACATTATGTATCTTAAATAGCTCTGTACGAGGCAATTTGCCAGCTGTGTGGCGTGCGTCAGCAAGAAGGCGCGCACGGCGCGGCGTATCAAGCATCGTTTTTGGCGTTCGTGAGGCCGCAGGAGAAGGAGGATCAATCGAATAAGACTTTCGGCAGACGCGGCGCCTATTTCCCTGTTCAGAATCCATTATTTCCTAAATTTGAGTGAGTATTAGTAGAGAAATAGAGGAATGAAGAAGGGGGGGGGGAGGAAGGGGATCTGAGAAGTCCCGTAAATTTTGGCACCAAGCTTCGGACCGTCTTGATCCTTGACGCAGCGTACCACCTACTTGTACTGCATATTCGTCTCAGTGCCCGCGCCGGGTTACACCCGATAATGATTGACATTGTACTTCGGCTAGGGGGAGCTTGCGTGTTCGGCTGAGAGCGGCACGCAAAGAGCTGCCAAAGACGTGCAGGTCTGATGGTGTGGAGATCCCTGTCACGAGCGCTCGGCTGCATTCCTGACGGCGACCAATCATAACGAGTACGATCTGGATTGGATCTGAGGCGTAGCATACCACATCGCCGCCATGATTCATGAAGCTTCTTAACAGGGATTCTTTTCCTACGCGCCACCCTATCATATCAGTATCCACCACTCTGTCGTAAAATGCAATCTTTTTCTAATTGGTCAAAGTAACCGCTAGCGTCTACTCAAAACGACATAAGATTTGAATGGACGGATATAACTTGATAGCGTTTGTATAAGGTGCGCTTATAGCGCGGCAGCGGCTGCAGCAACCAATTAGAAAAAGATTGCATTTTACGACAGAGTGGTGGATAGAGGCTGCTACGATCTTACCCGTTTAGGAAATCCAAACAAAGGATCTCCACAGCTACCCGTTTGGGCAACCGCCCTGTTCTCCTCTGTATCCTTTCTAGGATGCAAGAACACCTACTCCTTATCACCTTCTAGAAAAAGGTACAGAGAAGCCCCCATCCTTCAGCACTAATGTCTTGTGTGTAATCATCTGTCGAGGAACCCAGGATCGGGAAGAAAGAGGACCACCGGCCGAGATACTTGAGACGGATTTTCCTGACACCAGACCTGTACGTACTAATCCAGGTCACATCGAGCCTTGTCTCTCCTCGTACAGGCCGGCCATTGGCCCCAAACTAAGACATCAAGCCCAAAACTCTGCCATGTGCTCCAGAACCATCGAGATCGGTATCGTAAAGAACTTGTAATGTTTGGGAAAGAGGTGATTTTTGGGCTTCGCACAGGAAAATGGGCCGTCATTTTGAAAATCACGACATGTTTTCCTTGGAGAGTAGTAGAGTTATGTGGATGGATTTATTGCGGCCGCATTTTGCTTGGATACCTGCCATTGTCACGCCCTTTGATCAGATAAGTTCTCCCTCGTCTTCCACTATTGGACGCGCTTAGGGTTTCCTGTATACAGTTCATTGCTTCTGGTCGATTTAAGTTTGTACGTGTTCCTTTCTACCATGTTTAGAAGGATCTTAAAATACTTTTAGAATTTGTCTTTGATTTGGTTGCCCGTATTAGTTTACGCCTAAATACATGATAGTATCAACCTCAAGTGTGAGGATCAGATTACATTCAGATTTCTGACCTGGCATGGTATAAGACCAGAGTTGAAAAACTGTTCGACCAGCGCACGATGCTATACATTCTAGACAGGGTATCCATCAATTCAAATCAGTCAATTTGAGGCCTCGAATTGAATTGATTACATAATCAGCGCCCTCGAATTGAATTGAATTGACTGATTTGACAATTTAGTCAATTTGTATGGATATGCGCTATTTCGACTTCGACGGCGGCGAGGAGGAGGAGGAGGAGAAAGATGAGGCGCCAAGGAGGAGGATATAGCTGTATTTAAGCTGTTAGCACTTAAATAGAGCCTATCGACTATACTTACCACTCTCTATATCTCAAATAACCTTGTTGTTGTACCAATTTCGGAGGCATTCGGACCATTCGATGGTATCTGGGCTCAACCTGTTGCGATTTGGCGTAATAAGTAGCTTCGCAGAGCTAAATACGCGTTCGCATTTAGCGCTCATCGCAGGGATAGCAAGGATAGTGTACGCAAGAGTAGCCAGAAGCGGAAATGAGGGCTCTTGCTCTCTCCACCAAATAATGAGATTTTGAGGCGTTGATTTGAGCGTAGGTAGTTGGCAATAAGCCGTATATTCATTAGCTGCCTCATCTTCATTGCCTCTCAACTGGCCGCAGGCTAAAAAGCTCTTGAATAAGCCTTTTTTAGGAGAGAATTTCGCCGCAGGCAGAAACTGCTTCTCCTTAACTGCGTGCTCATGCTGTATCTTGTATCTACCCTATAGCGCCTTTATCTGCTGCTTGGCCTCAGAAATCCAGTATCTGTTATTCTTCTAATAGATATCGAAATATCTCTATTTATAAGCAGGATTAAGGATAATAGCAGCAATGTAATAAGGAGAGAGATCAGTTACTTCGTAGTATTTTTTTATCTTGTTCCACGTGTTATTTGCAGATAGCCTAATTCGATCTCTGATACCCTTCTCCTCCTTAAGCGTTTCGAGCATCAACAGCAGCCATTCGATCATAAGGAGGCATTCCCACAAAAAGCCATATCTAGCGCCCTTATTATTGCTTTGTAAGAAGTTTGTAGCTTCATTGAACGGCTGTAAAGCGTTGTAAAGCTCTTGAAGCATTATCTAATCATCCTTTGTAAGCTGAGGATGCTTTTAAATAGCTTTATCTGCTATTCTGCCTTTTGAATCACGTTTTGCTCGACAATTATTAACGTACACTTAAATATAATCCTTGAGCTCTAGCGCGCAAGTAAGCATGTTGTATGTAGAATTCTATCGAGTAATATTATTTTGAATAAGCATCAAATTCTGCTTATTTAGATCCATATCTGTGCCTGTTATCTTGCGAAACGCCTGTCTACGCTATAGGCTACTTTGAATTAACGAAATAAGGTTTTGAAGCTGGCCAATAAGGCCCTGAGACACCTAGCTGCGTTATAAATCTTTGATATCTGCGCTCTCCTTAATAGTAGCATGTTCTTATAATCATTTCTCTAAATTCTGGCCAAATATAAAGTCTTGTGTAGCAAGATTAATAATATGACTTAAACAGCGTAGTCGGCAGTGCTCTTTTTTATGCGTATTATGTAATTCAAGTTTATTAAGGATGTAGTGAACTACTGTATCATTATTGCCGGCGTTATCAAGAACAAACACGCCAAGTTCAGATTCGGTTTGGAATTCGCGAATAACGTTAACGATTATATGACTAACATTTTCGCCTGAATGCTCTCTATAGACCTTGCGAATACCAAGTAAGATAGCTCTAACTTGGTAGTCATTATTAACGAAGTATGAAACAATTCCGGCGAGTGCATAGCCGTTAGGGGAGGTCTAAATATTGAAAGAGATATAAATTTTTCCTTAACTCTTCCGAAGCATATGCTTTACCTTGTTTCTAGCCTTTTTGAACTTATTCTTAATCTAATTTCGTAATGTGCTGTTACTAGTAGGTAGATAGGGCAGGATTTTATTTGTAAGGCTCGAAGACGAAAGGAATAAGCTTTGAAAATGCTTATTAGTGACTATATTAAAAAAGGCATGAGAAATTATAACCTATTTGATGAGGCGATCTTAGAAAGATGTATTGATTACTACAGGCAGATTTTGAAGCTCTTAGATCTTCGCAAATTGACGTTGTTGATCAATAACAGATAGCTAAGATGAAGAAGGAGTTTCACTATTCAATCTAATACCATATTTCTTTCGTAAATACTCTTTTGGACTTGTTGTTAAAGTACCAACATATCGCTCTTGACAGATGTTACATTCCCAATAGCATCGTGTGTCAGACCCGTTTTCTAATACCACCTCTTTTCCATGGGCCTATATGAGTAAAGTTCGTGCCCGTTTTGATTCTGCTTAAGGCGAAACATAGTTTCGAGTTCGCTTTCGAGGATTCCGAGCTTGAATAACTGAAAAAGCATTTGTTGGAGTTGGAGTACACATTTGTTCTGCGGAGATAGAGGATCCTACTCCAAAGGACCCCAGGTCGGACGGAGTTTCTGGAAATGGACTCAACGACGATCTTATAGAATTAGACATTATGTTAGAGATAGAATAGAAGACGCTGAATACAGCTAGCTAGGTCCGAGTATATAGAAATATTTTGTTAGATAGTAATTCGTGGTCAAAGTTGGTCCCTAGTCTTTGGTATAGGATTTACAATTTGCGGAGAACAATAAATATTTTATTCTCACGTACACATATTACTGAAATAGGCAATAAGCTCAACACCAGCATTGAGCATAAAGATAGCTCTACCAATTACATTGATTTCTACACCATTTACTGGCCAATTCGGCTCGCAATTGGCCCAATTGTCTTCTACACATACAAATTGACTGAATTGACAATTCTACAGATGCCAAATTGAACTGACTGGAGCACAGAATTGAATGATTTGCCAAGCAATTGAACTGATTGAATTGACTAAATTGAATTGAGTGGACACCCTGTTCTAGATGACTTGGTGACTCGTTTCCTGTGTAAACACTGTACATTTTTACGATTTCTCATTGCCTGGATGGCTCGACCGTAATGTCCTCGACGACGAGACACTGTTCCTCGACGTCATGAAGTCAGCAAAATTAACCTCCACCTCTTCCGTGTGCTGTTCTGCCATGGTGGTGTTGTACAATTTGCTAAACGCCGAACCCCTGTTGAGTAGTGTGTATGGATCGTCGAACTCGATCAATCGGCCACCGTCAAGCATGGCCACCTTATCAAAATCGAGGATCGTGTCAAGTTTGTGGGCAACGGCGATGATAGTATGCGAAGAGAATTTCTCGCGAATGACACGTTGCATGATTTCGTCGGTCTTGCCGTCGACGCTGGCGAGAGGAAGAGATTAGAATTTGACGGATGCTTTCAGAAGCGGGGGTAACGCTTACTTGCTTGTGGCTTCGTCCAGAATGAGAATGGTGCTTGACCGAAGCATTGCTCTTGCAAGACAGAAGAGTTGTTTCTGCCCATGAGATAAAAAGAGTCCTTCAATATCTGCGTCCAGCCCTCCTTTCTCGTCGACGATACTCAGTAAGTGTACACTCTTCAGTGCGCTGTAGATAGCTTCGTCGGGTTGGGTTTGATAAGGATCGGCGTTGAGACGGACCGATCCCTTCAGCAAGAAAGCGTCTTGTGAGACGCCAACAATCTTCGAGCGGATATCTTGCCTCGGGATTGTGGATATGTCGATACCGTCTATAGTGATGCGGCCACTAGTCATTTCGATCATACGGAAGAGGGTAAGAATCAAAGAGCTCTTGCCACTGTAGATAAAGTTAGCCTTTCCTCATTTGTGCACCATCGGTGCGGTGTTGTTTACCTTCCGGTCCTTCCACAAATTCCGATTTTTTCGCCGGCGTTGATAGATAAGGAGACCTCCTTCAATACTAGCTCAGTGGGCCTGTTCAATAAGTGTTAGGAAGCTATTAGCGCGTCTGGGAGGACAAACCTACTTGTACGCTGCCGAAACTTGCGAAAAGTCTATCGCACCCTTTGATGGCCAAGACGGTGGCGTGATGCCATTCTCAGTCGACAGGTCTTCCGGCACCGAATCCTCTTGGAAGATCTTGATGCGGGCAATGGCTCCAATGTGAGTCTCCAGCAGGGTCCAGAAGGTCACCAAGAGCTTGATACTCTGACTGAACATGATAACGTTGAGGAGGGCGATACCGACATAGCCTGCACTAAGCGTGCCTCGCAGCTTGACCACCAGGACAATCAATAAGACAGCGATGGTGGCAACAATTAAATCCAGCACAAGCGTAAGCCAGCGCTGAATGGCATAGAGAAGGTAGAATGGCCGCTGCGAGCGATCCAAAAGCTCACGATTCTTCTTCTCCAACGCGCTCTGCCAGCCAAACGCTCGAACTGTGGCGAGGCCAGACAGAATTTCGGTGAACTGAGAGTAGAGTGGAGCTTTAGATTCGATGTCCATGAAACGCAGTTGGCGAGAGGTGCGAAGATAGTATTTCTGGATCACGTAGAGCACGGCTATGACGATAGGGAAGGCGATGGCGGCGTACTTGGAGGCGACGCCTATGAGGACCATTTGGGCGATGCAAAGGACGAAAGCTTTGATGAAGTTTTAAGTAAGTGACGTGTGCTTCGGTCTAGGAAGGGTATCATTACTTGCGAAGGTATTGAGAGCTGCGATGGGCAGTTCCATATCGATGAGTTGGAGATCTTGGCTGAACCGATTGACTATTACACCCGAATCCGTTTTTGAGAACAAAGACATTGGAGCACTGCAGAGCGGGCTGTTAGCACGGGAACCATCTTGTGACAGGAAGGGAGGTCTGACCTGAGAACTGCATTCAGCAATGTGTGATGGAATGCTTCTCCGGACTTTGGGACCATAGTTATGATCAATTGCCTGATGACAGGTTAGAATCTGCAACTGAGTAGGGTATATTTACCGGGTGGCTTACCAACAACCCATTATGAGAGTGACTAAAGCCAGAGCTCCAAGAAGACCATAGATTCCGAGCCAGTAGTCAAGGCGGCCGTTGGGATCCCTCATATTGGCCGTTGCCCACCATTTCACCCAGACATCTGAGATTCGTACGTTAGAGGGCTTTGAATCGTAGCCTGGTTGGTTCAAAGGTGAATACTCACTGGGGAAAGAAAGGCAGAAAATGAAAGCCGTGATTGCCAGAATGAAGATGATCGTTGGCCACCACCCAATTGATCTTACATAGTACAGATAGATAGACGCATCGCCAGTACGTCTGCTGGCTTCCGCCTCGAGACTGTCCGTGTGTTGCTGGGGATTTGGGGGACAGTATGCATAGGTTTGTGTGCTAGCTTTCAAGTCTTCTTCCGGGTTGTAGTCCCAGTCAGGTTTTGGGAGGGTAAAGGTGGACACGTATCCGCCTGTCGAGTTCAAATCATCGAACTTTCCTTGCTCCGCGATCATGCCCGCTGGATCAAGTGCGATGATGTGATCTGAATATGGAACCCGCTTGGCTGGAAGGGTATAAGCTCTAGAATAAGATCAACACTGCGAACAAACTCACCGGAAGATGAAGCAACTAGAACGGTGGACTGAAGACGGCGCAATAGCCCATCCGGACCGAGGAGATTATGAAAAATGTGGTTCTCAGTGGAAGCATCGAGGCCGCTCAGAGCATCGTCAAGAATGACAATCTCTTTTTGAGCATAAATTGCCCTTGCAAGCGCCTGGTAAGATGTAAGTATTTTCCAAGCAGCTTCAGTATGAAAGATTTGACTTACAATACGCTGACTCTGCCCACCACTAAGGGCGATGCCCTTGCTGCCAATAATGGTCTGGTCTCCGCGCGGAAGCTGTTTGAGATCCTGGTGTAAAGCACAGGCCCGGATGACAGTAGTGTACCAATTTTCATCGAATGGTGAGACGGCGACGATACTTTGCTGGATGGTGCCATTCATGTGCCAAGGCGTTTGGTCGCAATAAGCCACCCTCGTTGACGAGACCTGGATGCTTCCCCCCATTGAAGGCACTTCGCCCAGAAGAGCCTTGAGCAAGGTTGACTTTCCGCATCCGACAGGGCCTATCAGAATAGTGAATTTCTGTCGCGGAACATTCATTGTGATGCCTTTAAGCAGGGGTTCCATCTTAGGATCCCAACCGAAATAGCCGTCTTGGACGGTAATTGCATCGTCTCGAGGGAATGAATTGGAAGCACGCTTAGAGGATAGCGACAAATGCTTGTCTGGCACAGGCCCAGTGCTTATTTTTTGGGCAATGCTCTGGGGCTGCGAGCCATCTGAAAGATCATCATGCAAGAGATCTAGTGGCTTCTTTCGAGAGTCGATGCGGACTTCCTTGTCAAGAAACTCTTGGATTCTGGTGAAACAGCCTACCGAGCCCATAAAAGCTACCAGAGCCATGATAAGTGATGCTAAAGGTTCTGCAAGTAATGCAAAGAGCGAAAGGGAAGTGAACACTCGAGCAGTGTCCAAGGTAGTACTACTGCCGTTGTTTCTTGCCAAGACGGAAAAGAGAGCGAAGGAAATAATAGGGGCAAAAATTTGAGTGACATATGCTACAAAGTCATGTCAGTCAAGGTTTCTCATCCCAGCCAGATTTTCATCTTGTCTCACTTACCGAACGCCATATTCCAGATCAAAAGCTTCCTGAATTTCTTGGAGATGTTCAGCTCTTGAACTCGCAAATTTTGCAGGTTGTCGAAGAGGGTCTGTTTCAAACCGCTCATTTTGATGCCTTTCATAGCACCGATCATAGCACTAGTGGCAGAAATGCGTTTTTCGATCGCTTGGAGCCACATAGCTTGTCGAGACACAATGAAATTCATAGCGATAATTGAGCCAAACATCGAAACTGCGGCTCAGAGATTAGTGTTGATGACTCGGTGAGGAATTTATACCGTCGGCTTACGGATTGAAATAGCAATTGGTATGACGCATGCGACACCTAGCTGCCTTTCCAGAAGAAATATGGCTATTGCCACTTCAACTGCATTGGCCCAGATCTCGTGCATACTCTGCCAGCCTTGGACAATTCTCTCTATATCTGCGCTCATGAGAGTCATCGATACGGCGGGATCAACATCTTTCATGCTCAAGTCTGTAGCTTTCCGGTAGAGCATAGAGATTAATCCACCTCTGGCCATAGTGATTGCTCGGTAGGTGAGGTGCTGGTATTGACCCGTTGAGATCTTGCCACCCGCCATTAGCATAAAGAAAATAGTAGAATCTGAATGAAACCTACCGCAATGCCTGTATAGACAAGGATATACGCTCCAATCAAACCATAGCCAACGTTTGTCGTCCTGTCTGTGACAGGCTCCGTGGACAGAATGATGGCCCTGTTGATAAGGAACGGCTGGCAGAAGCTCAATCCAGTGAGGCATGCTCGCGGAATAATAACTGCCAGAATTGGCCATTTGAGTGTGACAAACGCTACGCCAAGCAATGAATTGGGGCCTTTTTTGGTCACTAGAAGTGCGCAGAGTCAGCTTGACAATGGGTAGAAGGTTTATCTTAGAGTGCAGGAGTCGAACCTCTGTCCCAAGTTCTTTGCAGCCTTTCATGGAGATATTCCGCGGCAAGATGCTTCTCGAGAGTATATAAGTCCTCAATGAAAAGCAGATTCGAGAAGCCTCTTCGAAATAGCGGATTTAGCCACCAGAAGAAGCTTTTGTTATATATGCCGCTGATTGCCTCGGGTGGATAAGCCTTGTACCTTGGTTTCAGAATCCGTCGTTTTTCAACAGCTTCGAGCAGTAGAATCACAGCCTTGAGTGCAACGGAAGCCGTGAAGACAATGGCAATCACTTCGTTGTAATGGTTGTATTGCCGTAGCCAGAGTGTCCTCGCACGGGCAATATCGAATAATAGCGTAGCGAAGAGATAGCCATTGAGCAAGAGGGAGGGCTGAACGGACTTCACATGTTCCTCGTAGGAAAGTAAACAGAACAGAAGTGAACCGACCACAGAGACTATATTTGTGGCAAGTGTTGTTCTGGTTCTGATTGCGGATGGCCTGACCCAAAGTACCAGCAGAGCCAGCTGAAAGGCTCCAAACGCGATGAAGGAGATCTGATGATTATGACATATAAGCTACTTTCTTCAAGTCCGACGTAGAAGCGTCAAGGATAGCTCAGATCGGTAATGTCTGTGGAGGAATACATACAAGCTTCAAGGAAAGAACCGGGCTCTGAACGACTTTCTTATCCTTCTTGAAGAGATACCATATTCGCAGAGGAGCGATGATGAGAATGATTGCGAGAGGTAGAATGGATAGAATAGTCTCCTCAAATTGTAGCGTGAAATCAAAATCACCTCGACAATTCGCAGCATGGGGCCCAAACGTGTCATCGAGACGCGCACACGTAGAGAATTGCGCAGCCATAGTCATGTAGCTGCTTCAACAGAACATCGACAGGCAGAGTTCAAAGGAAGGGGAAAGACAAACTATACGCTGCTATGAGTGAGGAGGACGGGGATCGTCAAGGCTTTTTTTTATCTTTATACCTTGGTGTCATATACCGGTATTGTTAGTCTGACATTAGGTGTCGAGACGGCCGACACATAGGTTCTTGAATCTCGATTTACCTGATTTACCCGGGAAAAGAAGTTCTTTACCAACTTTGAAGAGACTAGGAATTGTGCATCGTTCTTGACCCATTTAACACATGTGAATAAAGGGTGGTAAAGAAGGATCTTCATGATTCAACATAAGTTACTACCTCCTTCGATTAGAGCTAGTATAATAATTATTGAACACAGTATCAATCTTCGTTATTTTTACTAGCGGTTTGCAGCCTGGACTAAAGCTGGCACCTTTCAGAAAGTGACGTGGCAGCCTTCTCATTTCTCGTGTGCAGACCTAGTGCAGGCCTGGCGCATGCTGAGCGCGGGGAGGCTGTGGAGGTGGCGTGGAAGTGGCGTGAGCTTAGCGCAACGTCGCAGATCACACAGATCAACTTCCATAGACATGCTAAGTTATGTCCTCGGCCCCGCTTTCAGATGGTTCTGGAGAATTGTACAGTTGGTTTCTGCGCCCAAGTCTCCGAATGGTCCGTCAGTACCAAGCAATGGAAATTCTCGAACAGCCCGATGTTGACGTCGAAGGCATACATTAGGTTCAGACAAGCAGGTTTTGGGGTAGTATCCGATGTGATCTTCGAAATTAAGCTAAGCACTGCCGCTACCATCTTCCTCAGGGGTCCCTCGTTCGGTGCACTTGGCGAAGAATAGGTAAAAAGAGCCTCAACCTTCAAATTCTATCTTGCATGAAATCTGATGGTGGGACACAAGATCGATACATCGACATACAAAAGAAAAGTATTCAATCGCAGAAGTGAGACATTCAACACCTCCGTATTCGAACCATTGAATTCGATTGCTGCAAGCCAAGGTGTCACGAAAAAGAAAATAAGACGAAGAAAAGGTAAAAGGTGATCGACAGCGCTGATTTAAACTTTATACTGGCCCGTCTACCTGCGGGAAGGATTTGTGGGATTTGCAAATAGAGGAGGCCAACCACTTGCATACAAGCCAGCGTGTCAGAATATACGTAACACCACGGAACAATATTCTGTCCGTTCTTTGTACTCAAAACGTCATAACTGTGGATTTGGGATCATCGGTGACACAGCGGTTTTATTGGTGGTCCTCGCTTACCCTTTACAAGACAGCTTCACAGCTATGCATATCGTAGTAAGCAAGTTGGCATTGTGATTGAGTGTGCTGTGGACAGCAAGAGTGACCTGGGGCGCCTTAATTCGGCCCTACAAGACCGATAGCCAAAATGTGAGACAATGATTTGCCTTGTCTGGCCTATTAGAGGGCACTGATGTTGAAAAGGTAGAAGCAAGCCCTTCACAGCCTAGAAGACCAACGCTATTTGTGAGTCGTAATCTTAGAGTTAGGAACATACACACGGATGTCTACACCTTGGTAGTTTCGTTCCATTTCTTACGCGGGGTAACGTAACCGGACCACATGGGCAACGGATCCCAACTTGCAACGGTTTAGGGCCGATATCTCCATCTCTACCAGAATTTTAAGCCCCTTAATTTTGATTCGTAGCCATTCCATGGATATTTATCGAAAGCAACACAGAGATAGGCCAAACGGCCAGAATCAAGTATTTTTTTTGCGGGCAAGATGCCTATTTGAGCATTTAAATCAATTCTATCTTTATAATAACGCTAGCAGTGTCAGATCACCGGTAATATGCTGTGATCCAAAATGCCAAGCAATTTCTGTTGCGGATGGGTATCCGTTGCATATGTAGTCCGGCCACGTTACTATACAACTGTCATATAACGTTGAAGAACCGGGCCGGTTCAGTAAGCACGTGGGCAAGACAGCCTCGGCGAATGTACTACCTACACCCTAACAATTGCGACATTTTCTTTCGTCATGATTGAAGGTGGATGGCCCGTTAGGCGACATCCGAAACAGTTGGCAGCGGATTGGGTACCCACTCGCTAGCCATTCAGCTGCTCCTCAGACAGCGGCAATCCCAAAACAGTAATGATGTTCAGGAGGGCTTGCGTAGTACTGAGTACGGGTGATGTATCCAGTACGCACCATATCTGCGCCAAGCTTCATCTACAGCTACGGTACCTGGCTGAAGTATTTGTTGTGCGGTGCTAGTATTTTTTTCATCGGGGCAATGTAGTACACAGCCACTAAGCAAATAACGATATAGCTGTATTTAAAAAAACTGATCGCGTGGATATCAACAAGCGAACCTTTGAGAAGGCCAGATGGTGACGCGTTTGATCCTGACTAGCTCATCTTAGCACCAACCATGCTATGAATACGTAGCACTCAACCTAGTATGCCTCCTACCCTAGTAAGATGTGATTTAGCGTACCAAGCTTGCAAGCCGAACCATACTGATATAGCATCTTAATTTTCCGAGACGCTAAGCCAGAAACAAGCGAGCAACCCAAATACTGGGACAGATCAAGCCCAATGCCACGGAAAGCCTTTTTACAGCACCAGGCTGGGTAAAAAGATAGCCTAAAAAAGTCATGCTGTCTGAAAATCCCGCTCTCCCAGCAATCCAAGGTGTGAGCCGTCCTATGATCGCTAGCGAAGCTTACCTGGCGTTAAGTGGATGCCGCCACAGCTGTGGATTTTTCGTCAGTGGCTGTTGTTCTCGAGCTACCTCCAGCCTCGAGGCATTATACACAGAGGTGGGAAAGCTAGAGGCAGAGACGTTGGCCAGCGATGTACATATTAGTTGTAAGAACAGGATGAAGAACTTTTTCAAGAGCTGCTTTCACAGCATGTCCTAAGCATCGTCGTTACCTTGTTGACGTGTGGCCCTCGCCTTACTCAGACATTTTTAATCAACTTCCCTCTCACTACTCCCGCACTTATTGGGTAATTGAGTATAACCAGAACCGACCCTCAAGCATCTTTATAACTGTGAGTCCCCACTGCTTCGCGTGAAGGAAGTCGCTGATTACAGGCTCGCAAGTTCATCCCCAGTCACTTTGTCGTCTCTCTCACCTTATCACATTAGACACGATGGGATCTAGCCTGAAAGCCCCGCAGATCGATGCCTCCAACTATTGGGCCTCCTACCTCGCCGGGTCGGAACCTTGCCAGTTCCCTCGTCTTGGTACCAGTGTTGATGGACCTAAACGGCCTATGTCACTCAGAGTGCATTCGGAACACGTGCAAAGGCTGCAGCAGCTGTCTGCATCTGATGGAGCAGCTTTATCAAGCCTACTACGCGTCGCATGGGGTCTTCTCCTGCGGTGCTACACTGGCTTGGATGATGTCTGTTTTGGCTATCAAGAGACTAGACTAGGTAGCGTGGGCGACGGGCACCCACGAATATCTGGACCGCTCAATGGCATGCCTGTTGCACGTTTGACGGTGGATGACATGGTGTCCGTTGTTGACACGCTGGAGAAGGCGAAAGGTGAGTATATTTCAGGTATCCCCTATCAAAGTTATGTACCTTCTGGTACCACCGAAGATTCTCCGTTCTATGGGCGCCAGCTCTTCGATACCGCTGTGGTGCTCCGGAGTCCGCCTAACACTGCAGCCTCTAACAAAACCGTTGTTACGTCTCAACCGCTGAACGTAATACTCCCCAAAGAGGTGTGTATCAGCTTCTCCTGGCCATCCTGCCGACTACTTTCGACTGCTGACATAAGTTACAGTATAAGATACGCCTGCTCATCAAATGTTTCAATGGCAATCTTACCATGTTTCTGGAATGGTGGAGCTGTGACATGCCTATGGAGCAAGCTAAGAACGTTGCTAGCACATTTGATACGATTCTCAGTACCATCCTGCTTCGACCTGAAACCGCTATTGGGAAGTTGGACTTCTTCAGTGAGCGCAATAAGCAGCAGGTACTCCAATGGAACAGCAAACCGCTAGAGAAGGTTGAAGGATGCGTCCACGAGGTCATTCAAGAACAAGCCCTGAGCAGGCCGGACTCCGAGGCTGTTTGTTCATGGGATGGCAGCTTCACCTACAAGGAGCTTGATGAGGTTGCTTCCCGGTTGGCTGGCCGCCTAGTTGAGCTCGGAGTAGGTCCAGAAGTTCGCGTGCCACTTTGTTTTGAAAAATCGGTGAGTGTTGCCTTACCACAATGAGTTCGAACACTTGAAGCTAACTGTCGCCGCAGAAATGGACCGTTGTGGCTATGCTGTCTGTCATGAAAGCTGGTGGAGCTTTCGTTCCTCTAGACCTGTCCCATCCAATACCACGTTTGCAAGCTTTGACTCGCTCTGTTGATGCCAGGCTTCTACTTTGCTCACGTCCTCATGTTGGGCTGCTTGCCACGGTTTCCGAAACTGTACTTCCGATTGCTGACGAACTTGTCAACCAATTGCCTATTAGACAAAGCAAACAAATAGGCCAAGTCAAGAGTAACAATGCCGCTTATGTGATATTTACCTCTGGATCTACTGGAGAGCCAAAGGTACCCACAGCCCAACTATACTCACACATCAGGCAAAGGTCTAATCCTCCATAGGGCACAGTAATTGAGCATGGGGCGTATTGTTCTGGCGCCAAGGCTCATGCACCTGGGCTTCGCATCGACGAGACATGTCGTGTACTGCAGTTCGCGGCGCACACCTTCGATGCGAGCCTTGTGGAGATACTTACGTCGCTTATGCACGGTGCGTGCGTTTGCATTCCCAGCGAAGACGCTCGCCTAAACAACATCGTGGGCGCGATCAATGAAATGCGGGTGAATCATGCCGTTCTCACACCTTCATTTATTGGCTTTATGGAACCGGCAGCCGTTCCGAATTTGAAGACCTTGGTTCTGGCTGGAGAAGCCATGTCACAAGCTCATGTGATGGCGTGGTCTAAAATCAACCTGGTCAACGGTTACGGACCAACCGAGGCTTGTGTCTCAGCAGTGACAAACTCTCGCGTCACTCTAGAGACTGACTGCAAGGATATCGGCTTCCCAGCGGGGGTACACTGCTGGGTCGTAGATCCTTCTGATCACAACCGTCTTGTCCCGGTGGGCTGCATTGGAGAACTCCTTCTTGAAGGACCCACCCTTGCCAGGTGCTACTTAAACAATCCAGAGAAGACCTCTGATGCTTTCATCTTCAACCCTCCTTGGAGTCATGATGAAGCGGGAGTTACTTCAGACCGCCGTTTCTATAAAACTGGAGATTTGGTTCGATACACGTCGGAGCAGGGCTCTTTGAGCTATGTGGGACGGAAAGATACCCAGGTCAAGTTTCACGGTCAGCGAATTGAGCTCAGCGAGATCGAGCATCATCTCAATTCCGATCCCAGCACCAAGCATGGTCTGGTTCTCTTACCCAAAACGGGTCACTACAAGCAACGTCTTGTAGCAATCCTGTCCCTATCAGACACTATGTCTCCCATTGCTGTGCAAAACGAAACAGCATTGAAGACCATAGACGGACCGGTGAAGGACTCCTGTATTGCAGGAATCCGCGAAGGCATGTCCAGCCGTTTGCCATCTTATATGGTTCCCTCCACATGGCTTTGCGTAGAGGCTGTTCCGATGCTGACGTCTGGTAAGCTGGACCGCAAATCTGTCATGAGGTGGTTAGAAAATATGCGCTCGGACCTTGGCCAGGACTTGGTGTCGGAAGGGGAGTCAACACAACCAGCAACGGAAACCGAAAACCAACTCAGGGTGATCTGGAGCCATGTACTCAATTTACCTCTCACCAAAATTGGGCTGGATCACAGCTTCTTAAGTCTGGGAGGTGATTCGATTACTGCGATGACATGTATGAGCCAAGCCAAGAAGAAGGGTATTGGTCTTACAGTTCAGGATATTCTCCGCAGCAAGTCTCTTCAACAATTGGCGACTTGCACGAAACCTGTCAATAATCATATCGACCACCACGAAGCTCTTGACACACCCTTTGAGCTCTCTCCCATACAGCAACTCCACTTCCAAGTTCGAGCGGAAGGCAAAGGGCATTTCAACCAGAGCTTCCTTCTCCGACTTACACGCGAGACATTGGAGAAAGATTTACAACACGCCATTGAGACGCTTGTTGCGCGCCATTCCATGTTACGAGCCCGTTTCAGCCAAAACATGGCTAACGGCAGATGGAAACAGCGTGTCACGCGGGGAGTAGCCTCTTCATACCGCTTCCGCGCACATAGAATCGATACCAAGGAACAACTCAAACCCGTTATTGCTGATAGTCAAGCGTGTCTCGATGCAATCCACGGCCCACTTCTTGCAGTAGATTTGTTCGACATCAACGGGCAAGAACAGCTTGTTTCATTGATCGGAAGCCACCTGGTGATTGATTTGGTGTCTTACCGAGTTATCCTCGAAGATTTGGAAGAGATTTTACTTGACCCCACAGCAGCCACATCAGCGACCGGGAGATCTTTACCCTTCCAAAGCTGGTGCCGTTTGCAAACCGAGCAGTGCCAGAGCCTTTCAACAAAGAAAGTCCTACCAATAGAAAATGTGCCTGGCGCGAACCTTGCGTACTGGGGCATGGAAGGTAAATCAAACACATATGGTGATGTGGCTTGTGAAGGCTTCGAGGTCGATGCGGTACTCACCTCAACTATACTTACGGCGAGTCACGACAGTCTTCGAACAGAAGTCATAGACATTCTGCTCTCTGCACTCCTGCATTCGTTTGGGCAAATCTTCACTGATCGTTGTGTTCCCACTGTGTACAACGAAGGGCATGGTCGGGAGCCATTCGATTCAACCATTGATATTACAAGGACTGTTGGCTGGTTCACTGTGGTTTATCCAGTCTTTGTGCCCATTTCAGCCTCAGATGAGCTTGTTGAGACTGTTAAACGAATCAAGGATCTCCGGCGTCGCATCCCTGACAACGGAAGGCCATACTTTGCCTGCCGCTTTTTATCCAGCCACGGAAGAGAACAGTTCGCCCACCATTACCCAATGGAGATCAACTTCAACTATCTTGGCCAATACCAGCAACTGGAGAGAGATGGGGCCCTCCTTCAACCTTTTGAAGCCATGGCTGGAGAGGCGCACGTCGGTGGAGGCACGGCAGACTTTGCGTACAACACCCCCCGCTTCGGCCTCTTTGAGATCTCTGCTGTGATTGCTCAAGGAAAGCTCCGGTTCTCTTTCACATTCAACCGCTACATGAGACACCAAGACAAGATCCGGAAGTGGATTTCTCACTGTCAACAAACGTTGTCCGAGGCAGCAAATCAACTGGCCAATATGAAACCTCAAGCAACGTTGAGTGACTTTCCATTGCTATCGCTCGACTATGGTAGCCTTAGGACCATGGAGAGAGAAAGACTGTCCCAAATAGGAGTTTCCTCCTTCACAGCCATTGAAGACGCATATCCTTGCTCGCCTATGCAACAAGGGCTCTTGCTTAGTCGGACAAAAGATGCCTCATACTACGCAGTCCATGGCACTTACGAGGTGGAAGCGCGGATGCAGGGTAATGTGGATGTGGAGCGGCTTGCGGACGCGTGGAGGAAAGTGGTCAGCCGACACGCTGCTCTTCGCACAGTTTTTGTAGAGAGTTTAAGCAGCGAAGGTCTTTACGATCAAGTTGTCCTGAAGAGCGTCTCCATCGATACCACTTGCTTACGCTGCGACGCAGAGCGAGACGTTCTTACAACGCTCGACAAGCAAACGCCAATGGCGTATGACGACGGAAGACTGCCTCATCGGTTCTCAATTTGCCAAACCTCCACGGGCCGAGTTTTCTATAGACTGGAACTCAGTCATACAATCATGGATGGTGCATCGATATCTATCATACACCGTGAGCTTGGATTAGCATATGCTGGTCAAATGCCTGATATCCAGGCGTGTCCCTACAGCAGCTTTATTTCTTACCTGCAAAATCAGCCTCATGAAGCCGCAATCAACTACTGGAAGTCATACCTGGCGAACCTAGAGCCTTGCCACTTTCCGGTTCTCAATGATGGCGTTACCGTACAGAAGCAGCTCCGCTCACTTAAGCTCCATTTCGGAGAGCTTGCCCAGCTGCAAAGCTTCTGCGATTCCAACGGATTGACTCTATCTAACGCATTTCATACAGCGTGGAGTCTTACAGTCCGCTACTACAGTGGCTCAGAAGACGCTTGTTTCGGATACTTGACGTCTGGACGAGATGCTCCTATTCCAGGAGTAGAAGAAGCAGTCGGACCTTTCATAAATATGCTGGTCTGTCGCATCAACATGCTTGGGAGCACTCCTTTGGGTCAAATCCTATGCCAGGTCCAGCAGGACTACATGGATAGTTTGCCGTATCGACATACTTCTCTCGCAGAAGTGCAGCATGAACTGAAATTGTCCGGTACGGCTCTCTTCAATACGTGCTTATCTTATCGGAAGCTTCCGTCTTTTGAAAGCACCGAAGATATTCCTATCACTTTTTCGGAACACGCTCCTATACATGACCCGACCGAATATCCAGTCTCGATCAACGTAGAGGTTTCGGATCGGGAGGCAGCTATCGACCTAGACTACTGGACGGATGCCCTCTCGGAAGGCCAAGCGGCCAACGTGTCCAGCACATTCATTCAAGCACTGCGAAATATCATCTATCATTCGGAACTGAGTATTCGAGATCTGGATCCTCTCAGTGATCTTAGTAAGGATCAGATATGGGCTTGGAATCGTGTATTACCCGAGAATATTAACGACTGCGTCCACCAGGTGATTGAAAGGCAAGTAAAGGCAAGACCTGAAGCAGAAGCGATCTGTGCTTGGGATGGGAAATTCAACTATGCACAGCTGGATGAGCTGTCAGGGCGCCTGGCAACCTATCTAATGAGCCTTGGAATCGGTCCCGAGACCTTTGTTCCAATCTGCTTCGACAAATCAGCATGGACTATCATCGCCATGCTAGCTGTGTTGAAGGCCGGTGGCGGTTGCGTTCCCCTTGAGGCGACGCATCCAAAGACCGCACTTGAAACTCGCGTCGTAAGCGCTGAAGCCCAGGTTGTGCTCGCATCTCCGGAGCGCGCCCAAATCTTTGAGGATATAGTCCCTTATGTCATCTCCGTCAGCCCTTCTTTACTAGACCAGCTCCCAAAAAAAGACTCCGGCTCCTGCATGACCGTGCAACCAAGCAACCCATCTTTCGTTATCTTCACCTCAGGAAGTACGGGACAACCGAAAGGCGTTGTCCTTGAGCATCGTGCGATGGTTACCAGTGCCGAAGCACATGGATCAGCCTTAGGAGTAGGGCCACAAACAAGGTTTCTTCAGTTTGCCGCATATACATTTGATAACAGCCTCGAGGAGATGTTCACCACTCTGATGCGTGGCGGGTGTGTGTGTGTTCCATCAGACCATGACCGCTTCAACAATCTTGCAGGAGCGATCAACGAACTCAATGCCAATTTTATGGACCTTACACCAACTGTGGCTACATTCCTGCAGCCATCCGACGTCCCAACAATCAAAGAAATTGCGCTTGGGGGTGAGGCTTTGACAAAGAAGGCTGTGGAAATATGGGGAAAGTCAATTCCTGTTCACAATCAGTATGGCCCGTCCGAATGCTCAATCAACTCGACACACAACGGAAACGCCGGCACCTTGGAAGATGTCTCCAATATCGGCCGCAGTGTGGGAAGCATCTCCTGGGTGGTCGATGCTTCTGATCACAACCGCCTCGTTCCTGTGGGCTGCATAGGGGAGCTATTGATAGAGGGCCCTATTCTAGCGCGTGGATATCTGAACGACAAAGAGAAGACAGCTAAAGCCTTCATCGAGAATCCCACTTGGGTTTTCGATGATCCAAACGGCTCTAGCCATTCCCCAAGAAGAATGTATAAGACTGGTGATCTGGTTCGCTACAATTCCGATGGAAGTTTGTGCTACTTTGGACGCAAAGACACCCAAATCAAGCTTAACGGCCAGCGTATTGAGCTTGGGGAAGTCGAACACCATGTCAAAATCAATCTGCCGGACAAAACCCAGTCAGCTGTTGAACTCATCACTAGAAGCCACAACGGAATATCAATCAAGGCGCTCGCTGCATTCTTGTACCTCCCATCAGATAATTCAGTCCCTACGGCCGGCCAGGAAGTCTCTGTCCTGCCTATGTCACCGGAGTTGCAGTCCACCGTGAAGACCATGGAGGCTGCCATTTCAGACTCAGTCCCAAGCTACATGGTACCGAGCATGTTTATCCCGGTCTCGCGCATGCCTTTGGTGTCTTCTGGAAAGCTGGACCGGCGCACTCTTCGGACGATGGCAGAATCGCTTTCTGAGGAGCAGGCTGCCACATTCCGCCTTGGTGGAAAGAGCGGGCGAGCACCATCAACTAAATTGGAGAAGGAACTTCAACAGCTCTTTGCAGCCGTATTAACTGTCGATGCGAACTCTATTGGAGCAGATGACAGCTTTTTCCGCCACGGTGGAGATTCCATCGGAGCAATGCGACTTGTCACTGCTGCGCATTCGAGGGGTATCCATCTGACAGTAGCAAGCATCTTTCAGACCCCGAAACTCTCCGACCTGGCAGATAGAGCCTCAATCGTTGCTCGCCCTTCTCCGGTCACCCTGCCGGATCTTCGGCCATATTCTCTATTGAGCAATGCAACTTCCGTCGACGATTTGAGAGATGAAGTAGCCTCACTGTGTCAGGTGGTTGTTGGCTCTGTGCAGGATATCTACCCTTGCACCCCCGTTCAAGAAGGCCTCATCGCATTATCCAATAAACAGCCGGGAGCTTACGTGGCGCAAAGCACTTACCGACTACCAATAGACATAGATATCGCGAGATTTCGAAAAGCTTGGCAAGAGGTTGCTGATACGGAAGTCGTTCTTCGCACCCGAATCGTGTTTACGAAGGCTCTCGGCTTCCTTCAAGTAGTCATCCGAGACCCAATCACTTGGGACTCAGCTGGAAGCGTTGAGGAGGTTGACCGCCATCTACCTCCGCATGATGGCGGTATTCTCTGTCGATATACCATTGTCGGTGAAGGCACGCCTGCGCCACATTTTGTCTGGACGGCGCACCACGCTCTCTATGACGGCTGGAGTCTGCCGATTCTTCTTAGCAGGGTGGAGGCTCGCTACCGGAATCCTCACCTACCGATCCAAGAGTCCGTTTCCTATTATCCCAGATTCATAGAATATCTCTGTGGCGTCAACCGCGCTGAGTCGAATGAGTTCTGGCAGTCTCGGTTGGCTGATTCAACTTCGCCACAATTCCCTCAGCTTCCCCATCCAGCCTATCAAGTCCAAGCTACGAGTCACCTCACACACACTGCGCATCTTTCGAAGCCTGCAGGAATAGAGCTCACAATCCCATCAATTGTACGTTCTGCTTGGGCATTGGTAGTTGGCATATATTCAGGCTCGGACGATGTGACTTTTGGTGAGATTCTGACTGGTCGTGACGCTCCTGTAGCTGGGATCGAAGATATGATCGGACCTACGCTGGCTACGGTGCCTACCAGGGCTCGCATCGACCGCGAACTCAGCGTCGGTAAGTTTCTAGCAGACATACAGCAGCAGTTTAGCGCAGCGATGCCGTATCAGTTTGCTGGTCTACAGTATATCAAACGCCTGAGCACTGAGGCAGGAATTGCCTGCGAATTTCAGAATCTGCTCGCCATTGTTCATGCCAATGACGAATCAGATAACAATTTCTGGAACATGGTCAGCAGTGGTACGATCGGTACGAACTTCTACAACTATCCTCTGACTATCTCTTGCACGGTAAGTAACGGTAAAGTGGATATCGATGCCCACTACGACCAGAAAGTTATTCCCACGTGGCAGGTATCAAGACTTTTACATCAATTTGAAACCTGTCTTTCTCGTCTCGTGTCAACGGAGCATAGTCAAGAAAAGATTGGCGAGATGGAGCTGCTGAGCTCGCAAGACCAAGCAACCATTACGATGTGGAACGAGGAGCAACTCGAGTATGTGGACAAGTGCATTCATGATGTCATCCAAGAACAGACAATATCGCAACCAGACGCGATGGCCGTATGCTCGTGGGATGCCACGTTTACTTTCCAGCAACTCGATCGGTTGGCAAGTTCGTTAGCACATCACCTGGCAGATATGGGTATCGGTACATGTCCAGCAGCTTTTGTTCCGCTTTGCTTCGAGAAGTCGGCCTTCACCATTATTGCAATGCTTGCTGTGCTCAAAGCTGGCGCTGCATTTGTTCCCATCGATCCAGCGCACCCCATTACACGTCTTCAGGAGATTGTTAGCGATCTTGGTGCCAGCCTTGTACTTTGCTCTCCTCGTTATCAGGATATTTGTGAGGCAATTGCGGCTCAAACGCTCTCTATCGATGAGGAGACACTCAAGCAGCTCCCAGTCCACCAAGATGGGCCGCCTTCTTATGAAGCCAACAGTGCTGCGTATGTCATTTTTACGTCAGGAACCACGGGAAAGCCGAAGGGGACCCTTGGTATGTGTATTTCTTCGAATGTTCTGCTGCATTAAGTGTCAGAGCTAACAACATTTAGTTGAGCACTCGGCTTTTTGCTCCGGGGCTGTTGCACATGGCTCTGCCATGTCAATCAAACCAACATCGCGCGTCTTGCAGTTCGCCTCATATACTTTTGACGCTTGCCTGTTCGAAATCTTGACAACTCTAATGGTAGGCGGTTGTGTCTGCGTCCCAAACGAGTTCGATCGAATGAACAACATCACTACTGTCATTAACCAGATGAAAGTTGATGTCGCTCTTCTGACGCCTTCTTTTGCCCAATTGATCCAGCCTTCGGATGTTCCTCGTCTTCGTACTCTGATCCTGGGTGGAGAGTCCATGTCGAAGAGTCAACTTTCCGTCTGGGCCGGCAAGGTCAGCCTGGTCAACGCATATGGGCCTAGTGAATGCTCAGTTATTGCGGCAGTCAACCCTAATATGAGTCCCTTCACGCATCCGGCAAATATCGGCCGTCGGCTGGATCGATGCTGGATCGTGGATGCGCGAAATCACCATAGATTAGCTCCCATAGGCTCTGTGGGTGAGCTCCTGGTTGAGGGCCCGACCTTAGCTAGAGGATACCTAAACAACCAGGAGAAGACAGCAGAGGCATTCGTCAAGAATTTGAAATGGTCCCTGAGCGAAAACTACCAGTATCCTGGAACAGTTTCTGGAAGAAGAATGTACAAAACAGGCGATCTTGTGAAGGTCTGCTCGGATGTTACTGGTGAGATGATATTCCTTGGACGAAGAGATACTCAAGCCAAGGTAAATGGTCAGCGACTCGAGCTGGACGAAGTTGAGCATTACCTGAACGCAGACAGTGCTGTTCAACACGTTTTAGTTGCGCTACCCAAATCAGGCTGCTGTGCCAAACACTTGGTGGCGGCGCTCTCATTGAAAGAACTTGCCACGAACATTTCTACAGACGGGCTCGAGATCGTTTCATGGGACGTAGCATCTCAATTCCTTCTAAACGTCCAGGAGCGGCTTAGAGATCACCTTCCAGCTTACATGATTCCCTCAAAATGGGTCGTTCTACGCCAGTTACCCCTGCTACCTTCCGGTAAGCTGGATCGGAGGCAGATTGTCAGCTTTGTTGAGGAGATGAACGATGAGGCTCACGCAAAGATATCTGTCGCCAAAGACACCGCAAAGAACCCGCATGCTTCTACCATAGAGCGACGGCTTCAGGCAATTTGGGTCCATGTTCTGAACCTTACTCCGGATCTGGTAGGGCTTAGTCAGTCTTTCTTGCACCTTGGCGGTGATAGTATCTCGGCCATGCAGGTCATGGCGAGGTGCCGATCAGAAGACATGGGTGTAACGGTGCAGGACATCATTCGAAGCAAATCCATCTCAGACCTCGCGTCACGAGTGAGGCTTCCAGAGCAGGTTACATATGAAGGTGAAGATGCTCACGAGTTCGACCTATCTCCTATACAGCAGCTTTACTTCAGTTGTGTAGGGAGCAACTGGGCGCAATTTAATCAGAGTGTCTTGCTGCGTTCGTCGCGTAAGATATCCTCTGAAGAAGTCACAAGCGCTTTCAACGCCATCGTGAAGGCGCATTCCATGTTGCGGGCACGCTTCAGAAAAGACGGAATGGGCAATTGGAGACAGCGGATCACCACTGATATTTCTGGATCATACCGATTCCGAGTTCGTAATGTCAGTACGACTGCTCGCATGAAATCTTTCATGGAGGACAGCCAAAAGAGTCTCGATATCCTCAAAGGGCCCGTGGTTGCTGTGGACCTATTCAATTATGGCTCCTCAGATACCCAGTTGTTCATTGCGGCGCATCATCTGATTGTCGATCTGGTCTCGTGGCGTATAATTCTAGAAGACCTGGAGGACTTAATCAACTTGGGAACTTCAAAAGCTCAGGGATCCTTACCGTTCCAAGCTTGGTGCCGACTACAAACAGAGAATGCTCAGCAACAGAATGCTAAGCAGGTGCTCCCGTGCAAAGGGGCGCCAGTGGCAGACCTGGACTACTGGGGAATGATGGATAAGCCTAACGTCTATGGTGATGTGGTGAGTGAGGAAATCGAGCTTGACCGTGAAACAACCACAATGTTGCTCGCGACTTGCCATCAATCTCTTCAGACAGATTCTGTAGATGTTCTGCTTGCAGCAATACTTCAGTCATTCCGCCACACGTTCCCAGGCCGCGAAACGCCGCCAGCAATTTACAATGAAGGCCATGGTCGCGAGCCTTGGGACACGAAGCTCGATTTGTCTCGTACAGTAGGTTGGTTTACAACTCTATGCCCGGTCTATTTACCAAGAGAAGCCAGTATGGGTAAGCAGAAGTCTTTGACACACTTTCATTAGAACAATGTTTGCTGATATATTCTCTATCAGATAATAATTTGGTCACTGCCATCAAATGGGTGAAAGACTTCCGAAGACGGTCGCCAGAGAAGGGAAGGTCGTACTTCGCCTACCGCCTCCTCACATCAGAAGGTAGAGATCATTTTGGTAACCACTGGCCTATGGAGGTGGCCTTTAACTATCTAGGTCAAATGCAGCAGCTTGAGCGAACCGATTCATTACTACGCCTTGTTGATGGAGGACAGTCTGTCAATAGTCTATCCGACATTGGCAAGGGTGTTCCTCGCTTTGCTCTCATCGAAATCTCAGCGGCTGTGGCAGAGGGGCGCATGAAACTCTCTTTCAGCTACAACAAGCAGATGAAACACCAGTCCAAAATCGCTGCATGGATGGCTCAGTGTCAAGACTTGCTTCGACAAGCCCCCAACAACTTGACGCAGCACAAAGTTGAACGTACCTTAAGCGACTTCCCGCTTCTGCCGCTAACATATCATGGCCTGGGAAAGTTGGTGGAGAGGCTGCCAGAAATCGGTGTCTCTTCACTCGAGGAGGTTGAAGATATTTACCCATGCTCTCCTATGCAGAGAGGCATACTGCTCAGTCAAATGAAAGACCCTCAAAAATATGCCTACCAGTCCGTGTTCGAAGTGCAATCCTCTCAAAAGGGACGCCTCGTTGACCTCGACAGACTAGAACGGGCTTGGCGGGGAGTTGTTCAGCGCCACACTACACTGAGGACAGTTTTCGTTGACAGCGTGGGCCAAGAAGGCTTAGTGGATCAGGTCGTCATCAGACAAGCAGAGGCCAGAACAGCAAGACTTGAATGCTCCGACGCGGATGTTCAAAGTGTCCTAGCAGACCTCCGACCCCTTAACTTAGCCGACAAACAGCCTCCTCATAGGCTCGCGTTCTGTGAAACGTCGACAGGGCGAATCTTTTGCAAGCTCGAGATAAGTCATGTCATCTCTGATGGCTCTTCCATGCCCATCCTTCTTCGTGATCTTGCCGAAGCCTATGCGGGAAATGTAGAAGTGGTGGGCAAGACCAGGTCTCGTTACAGCGATTATATCGCGTATCTCCAATCTATCCCTCGAGAAGAAGGCCTCAACTATTGGAAAGAGTATCTTGCTGATGTCGAGCCATGTCTATTCCCTGCACTTGTCGACGGGGCGACGGAACCGTCAAGAATTCTCGGATCACATATTTTCAATTTAGAGCAAGCATCCGACTTGCATGCGTTCTGTGAAAGCTCAGGGGTGACACTTTCTAGCATGTTACAGCTGGTTTGGGCTCTGGTGGTTCGGTGCTACACTGGATCCGATGAAGTCTGCTTTGGCTACCTGGCTTCAGGTAGAGATATGCCGGTTGAGGGTATAGAGGATGCTGTTGGGGCATTCATAAACATGCTCATCTGCCGTATCAACCTGGAAAGTACCCTTGAGCTTGGTGAGGCTTTGGATAAGGTCCAGATGGACTTTTTCAGCAGCATGAAGCACCAGAGCTGCTCGTTGGCCGAGGTTCAACACGAACTCAACCTCTCCGGCACTTCTCTCTTCAATACTGCCTTCACTTATCAGAAACGTTCAAATACGCAACAGAAGTCGGAACCTGCGCTTCTCTATGATATTGTGGAAGCACATGACCCTAGCGAGTACAGTATTGCTGTCAATGTTGAAGCCACGGACTCCTCGGTGGAGATTCACTTCAGCTATTGGACGAATACTTTATCACATGCGCAAGCGAAGAACATTGCCAGTACCTTCGAACAAGTCCTGAAGAGTCTCGTTCAAAATGAGCAGGGAGAGCGAACTGTCGGAGATCTGGACTTTTTCAGTGAACATAGCTGCATGCAAGTATGCGGTTGGAACAAGAACTTACCGCCAAAGGTTGACAAATGCGCTCACGAACTCATTGAACGGCAAGCATTCCTGCGTCCACTTTCCACCCCAGCAGTATGTGGATGGGATGCGAACTTCACCTATACCGAATTGGAGGCAATTACGACGCGCGTGGCAAGGCACCTTGCAGGTCTCGGGGTTGGCCCAGAAACGTACGTGCCTCTATGCTTTGAGAAGTCCGCCTGGGCAATAGTTGCACAACTCGGTGTTTTGAAAGCTGGTGGGGCGTTCGTGCCGCTCGACCCATCCCATCCTGAGAGCCGATTGAAACATCTTGTGGATGATGTGGGCGCTAAATTTGTGCTCTGTTCACCAAAGTACAAAGAGAAGGCTTCTAAAGTGGCCAAGATGATCTTCATTGTGGATAAAAAGACCATCAGCCAACTATCTAATTTGCCAGTAACACCGCCTTCATCTAGCGCCAGGCCATCTGATCCAGCCTACGTGATCTTCACTTCAGGCACAACTGGACTTCCAAAGGGCACAGTTATCGAGCATGCATCACTCAGCACGAGTGCTTTAGCAAACAGCGAAGCACTGTTTATGCGCTCCAACTCCCGCGTTCTCCAGTTCGCCAGCTACACCTTCGACGCCAGCATTATGGAGATACTCTGGACGTTGCTTGTGGGAGGTTGCGTCTGTGTACCGAGCGATGAGGATAAGATGAACGACCTTCCGGGGGTGATAAGAAAGATGGGAGTTACTTGGGCATGTTTGACACCATCTGTGGCCAGTACGCTTAACCCCAAAACTGTTTCAAGTCTGAAGGTCATTGCAAGCGGAGGAGAGGCTATGCCGGTTGGGTACATTGAAAGATGGGCTGACACTGTAGCGATCGTCAACGCATATGGCCCCACAGAATGCTCAGTCGTCGCGACGACGGGCATCAAGTCTGATGAACGTGGAAACAAGGTCAACGAAGACCGTGCCAGTATTGGAACCGCCAAGGGTGGCCGATCTTGGATTATCGATTCACGCAACTTCAACCGCCTTGTGCCAGTCGGCGCGGTCGGTGAGCTTGTCATTGAGGGTACTGTTGTCGCCCGTGGGTACCTCAACAATGAGAAGAAAACCGCCGAAGTCTTCGTAGGGAATCCCGAATGGGCGAAAAGACCGGGCCTTTCTAGCGTGCTCTACAGTCAGGAGCGTATGTATCGCACCGGCGACCTCGTCCGATACAACTTGGACGGAACGATTTGCTACCTTTCCCGCAAGGATACACAAATAAAATTAAACGGCCAACGTATCGAGCTCGGCGAGATTGAGTATCAGTGCGAGAAGAGCCTTCTAGATGGAGCACAATCAGCAGTTGACTTAGTCGTGCCGACCAGCCAGGTCGCAACGAAAGCGCTGGTAGTATTCTTTAGCCTACCCACGGACGATGATGAGAGGGGGCTCATCAGGCGTGAAACCGCTGCCACAGATGAGCTACTGTTACAGATGGACGATTCGATCCGACACCTCGCAAAGAGTTTAGAGGTCTCGCTGGCCCAGGTTTTACCGACTTACATGATTCCGCAACTCTTCGTTCCAGTGTCGAAGATGCCCTGGCTGAGTTCTGGGAAACTTGACCGCAAGAGACTGCGCGAATCATTGCAGTCGCTCTCGCAAGAAGCCACAGCTCCGTACAGACTCGCGACCCCGGGAACTAAGCGCAGCCCTCGTACAGATATGGAGAAAAAGCTGCAGAAGTTATGGGAGAAAGTTTTGAAGCTTGCTCCGAGTTCCGTCCAGGCCGAGGACAACTTCTTCCGACTTGGTGGTGATTCTCTTGCTGCTATGAGTCTTGTTGAAGAAGCCCGCTCACAGGGCATCGCTCTAAAGGTCACGAACATCTTCAAGCTGCCCAAACTGTCCGACGTGGCCAAAACGTGTGAGTCGTTACAAGGAGATAGTGTTGAGGAGTCGGGGCCTTTCTCTTTGCTGCAAAGCTCAGAGCCTGTGGACCAAATTATCCAAGAACTCGCAGATCAATGTCGTGTAGACCAGGGCTTGGTTCAGGACTTGTACCCAAGCAGCTCCTTGCAGGAGAGCCTCATCACCCTTACAGTAAAACAACCTGGAGCGTATGTGGCTCAGAACGTCTTTCGACTTTCTCCCGGTGTTGATATCGATCGATTCAAGGTGGCATGGCAGAAGACGGTTGATGATTTGGATACCCTCCGTACTCGCATTGTTCACACTGCCTCTTCTGCCTTTCTGCAACTGGTTATCAAAGAGGAACGCATCGTCTGGCACACCGGAGACGATCTCCAGGCTCTTTCTAACGAGACGCAGCATATTCCACCACACAATGGCGGACCACTTACAAGGTACACGATCATCCATGACAACAGATCTACAGACCGCTACTTTGTCTGGGCAATTCATCATGCTCTTTATGACGGCTGGAGCCTTCCGCTTGTTCTTAACCGGGTTGAAAGCGCATATCTCGGCGAGGTCCAGAGTCAACCTAAAAGTTCTTACGCCAAATTCATCCAATATCTCCTGAAGGGCGATGTCAAGGCTTCAGATCAGTTCTGGAGATCTCATCTGGCGGGGGTATCTTCCATGCACTTTCCACAGGTGCCCCATACCGTCGCAGCACAGGCACCAAGGACGCGGACGTTATCGCACCGCGCAAATATCAGTCGAAAAGATATAAGCCCTGATATTACGGTTGCTACCCTCATTCGCGCTGCTTGGACCACCCTTCTAGCCGCATACTCAGGATCCGAAGACATCGTGTTTGGAGAGACATTGAGCGGAAGAAACGTCAACGTACCCGACATAGTGAACATTGTCGGTCCAACCCTTACGACTGTCCCTACCAGGATCCGGATGGATCGTAGCTCAACTGTAATCCAATTCTTGCGAGGAGTACATCAGATGGCCGCGGACATCATACCACATCAACACCTGGGTTTGCAGCATATCAGACGCCTCGATGAGGATACCGCCATCGCTTGTGACTTTCAGAATTTGCTGGTGATACAGACAGCGGAAGGTGGGACGTCTGAGGGCTTGTGGGAGTTACAAAGTGGTGGTTCCGCGGACAACTTCTTCACCTACCCGCTTGTGGTCGAATGCTGGGCAGCTCACGACGAGATTAAGGTCATGATTTACTACAACGAGAACGTGATGTTGAGCTGGCAGGTGCAAAGGTTGCTCTATCAGTTCGAAGCCGTATTAAAGCAACTGAGCGCTGCTTCCAAGAGCAACAGCACAGAACTGAGCCAGGTGAACGTGTTCAGCCCTGAAGATCAAGAAACGGTTCAAAAATGGAATCACATGAAGCCGCAACTAGTCGACGAATATATTCATGAACTCTTTAAGCAGAAGGCCCTTTCGCAGCCTCTATCCCAAGCTGTCTGTGCTTGGGATGGTGATCTCACCTACCAGGAGGTCTACGATCATGCATCTCGCTTGGCGCTCTACCTGGTGACGCTCGGTGTAGGGCCAGAAATATTTGTGCCAATTTGCATGGATAAATCTGCCTGGACTGTCGTCGCCATCCTCGGGATTCTCATTGCAGGAGGTACTTTCTGTCCGTTAGATCCAGCACATCCCATATCTCGGCATCAAGAGATTTTGGAAGAGCTCAACACGATCACAATTCTCTGTTCCCCTGCATACACTGGCAGGTACTCTGGTATTATCGAGAAAAGGGTTTCCATTGACAAGAATATGATTCTCGGCCTTTCACCACTCTATCTTCCCAACCAAATTCCTTTAGGCGCATCCACCACTGACGCCGCCTATGTCATATTCACCTCGGGAAGCACTGGCCGGGCAAAGGGCGTTGTCATTGAACATCGAGCCTTTTGCAGCAGTTCTGCTGCCTTTGGGAAGGCTATGCTTATGAAACCTGACTCCCGCGTGTTCCAGTTTGCTTCTTTGACGTTCGATGCAGCTGTTATGGAAATTCTGACCACGCTGACGTTTGGAGGCTGCATTTGTATTCCGCTTGAAGAAGAGCGGCTCAGAGATCCTGCGGGAGTTATGCATAAAATGGGGGTTACATGGACTTGCCTGACACCTTCTGTCGCTAACCTCATCGAGCCTTCGACAGTTCCCTCCTTAGAGGTGCTGGCCTGTGGTGGAGAAGCTATGCCTACGGAGGCTGTCACAAAGTGGGCAAAGCATGTAACATTACTGAATGCTTACGGACCTGCCGAAGCTTCTGTTGTCGCCGTTGTCAATGCAAGAATATCAGTCGATAAAGATCCTTCATGTATTGGATATGGAACGGCCGCGACGCGTGCTTGGATCGTGGATGCCGCACACCATGACAGGCTGGCCCCGGTGGGAGCTGTTGGCGAGCTCGCTTTGGACGGCCCAACGCTCGCCCGTCAATATCTCAAGAACCCGGAGAAGACGAGGGAAGTATTCGTTGACAACCCTGCTTGGGCTTCCAACTTCAAGTCTGGCGCAAAAAGGATCTACAGGACGGGAGACCTGGTGAGATACACTCCCAGCGGAGCCTTGGATTTCATTGGCCGCAAAGATAACCAAGTAAAATTGAATGGCCAACGCATGGAACTTGGAGAGATTGAAAATCGCCTCGATGCCGACTCACGGATCCGCCATGCTCTGGTTGTGATGCCTAAAACCGGTCCCTGCAAGAAGCATCTCGTCGCTATCCTCTCTTTAAGCAGCTTGTATAGTGAACGCACAACTCTCTCGGCCGCCAAATGTGTGCTCGTCCAGGAAGCAGCCCCCTTGAAGCAAGCGCGGAAGGAATTGACAGAGATACAAAACCGGCTCTCTGACCTATTACCTCATTACATGATACCACAAACTTGGGTGGTGGTTGAGGACGTCCCAATAATGGTCTCAGGCAAGCTGGACCGCAAACAAGTCGCCGCTTGGATCGAAAGTCTGGATGAGAAAGAATATGAAGTGATTATGGGCGTCGACAGTGAAGTTGAGAGCGCCATTGAGGTAACAGGGACTACCAAAGTGTTGCAGGGTATCTGGGCCCGCGTTCTCAACATCCCGATTGAGAAAGTAAAATCCAACCAATCATTCCTAAGCTTAGGTAAGTATCGGCTTCGAAGAGTTTCTACAAGGGTGCCGGAGCTTACAATCATGTAGGTGGTGATAGTATCACGGCTATGGCTGTCATGGCTCGGTGTCGCAAGGAGAAGATCAATCTCTCTCTTCAGGACGTCCTCCAAAGCAAGTCGATTGTTCAACTTGCGCTTCGAAGTGGATCTGCCGAGGACGCTCCGCAACAGGAGGAAAAAGTCGAAGAATTGTTTGCTCTTTCTCCAATCCAACAGATGTACTTCCAGTCTGCTACCAGCTATCAAGGACAGGCTCGTTTCAATCAGAGCTTCTCACTGCGGATCACTCGACAGACAGAGGCACATGAGATAAAACGTGTGATCGAGTCGATCATTAATCTGCATTCGATGCTGCGAGCAAGATTTAGCAAGGACAAACTTGGAGTCTGGCAGCAGCGAATTACCCAGGTATGAATTGCGCGTTCTTAACGCCTTCGGAAGGATAGGGCGCTGATTTGGATTATAGGACATCACTTCATCATATCGCTACACAGTACACAACGTCGATGCTATTGATCAAATTGCACCTTTAGCCGCACGCACCCAAGGAAGTCTTAACATTCAGCATGGCCCACTTTTCGCTGCGGACCTTTTCAACGTCAGAGGTGACAATCAAATGATCTTTTTGACGGCTCACCATCTTTGCGTGGATATGGTGTCCTGGCGGATCATTCTGCAAGAACTCCAGGAATTCCTCGAAACCGGGTCTCTGACAGCTGGAAAACCGCTGTCATTCCAGACTTGGTGTAAAATGCAGGCGGAGCAGAGCCAGAAGCAGTCCTTCAAAGACCTCCTCCCATTCCATGTGATGTCTGCTGACTTAGCATATTGGGCCATGGAGGGTCAACGGAACACGTACAGTGAAGTAGAGAGCAAAACATTCGTTGTCGATGAGGCGCTCACAGCCTTAGCCATGGGTGACTGCCACAAAGCACTTCAGACCGAGCCTTTGGACCTTTTGCTTTCCACAGTTGCCCATTCGTTCAGTCGCACATTTGCCGATCGGGCCACTCCAACGCTTTACAATGAAAGCCATGGACGTGAGAATCCCAACGTCGATCTTTCCAGGACAGTAGGCTGGTTTACCAGTCTATGTCCAATCCACGTCTCTGTCGACCTAGGTAAGTTTGCTCCTCCAAAACCATCCAGGTTTGGTTTGACATGGTGCATCATCGGCCTTGAGGTTCGAGCTAACCTTTTACCAGGCAACAAAGGTCAAGATGATGTTTTCACCACGTTGAAACGAATGAAGGATACCAGGCGCCGTATCCCAGAAAATGGCAGGCCATACTTCGCACACCGATTCCTGACTCCCGAGGGCCGGGCCAAATCTGGCGACTCTGGGGCTCCGGTTGAGATAGCCTTCAACTATTTGGGTAGAATGCAACAGTTAGAGCGGGATGACTCTTTGCTTCAACAGATTGACTTCGTGAAGAACGATGCGGATGCCAAGATCATGGGAGACGTGGGACCAGACACGGCTCGAATTGCCCTCTTTGAAATTTCCGCAATGGTCAGGGACGGCAAGCTTGAATTCTCATTCATGTACAATCGCGCTGTACGGCGGGCTGGGGACGTTCCTCGCTGGGTGGCGGAATGCAAGAGGACTTTGGAAGAAACTGTTCGGCGGCTGGCACACACAGCTCCTCAGCCAACCCTTAGCGACTACCCCTTGATGCCAATAAGTTATGACGAGTTGCGGAAGCTTGTCAAGGATACTTTTCCAGATGCTGGCATTAAGCAGTGGAATGAGGTAGAGGACGTCTACCCGTGCTCATCCGTGCAAGAAGGAATATTGTTCAGTCAGCTCCGGGACCCAGACACCTATCTCTCCAACGTCGTATACGAAGCAAAACACAGCAATCCAGGATTGCGTCTAAGTGCAGAAAAGATCGGGAAAGCGTGGCAAAAGGTGGTGAACCGACATGCAGCTCTCAGGACCGTCTTTATCGACAGCGTATATCGCGGTGGGGCCTTCGACCAATTAGTGGTGAAGAATGTGGACAGTGGAGTGATATACATCGAATGCGACGATGCCGACGTCACCAGAAGGCTTGAGTCTATCAGCATCAGGGAGACGAGCTACAAGAAACAACCTCGGCTGCCGCATCAACTTACTGTGTGCACTACTTTTAGTGGGAAAATGTTTATCAAGGCAGAGATCAACCACGCAGTCGTAGACGGCGGTTCGATCTCCATTCTTTGGCGAGATTTGACGATAGCATACGAAGATCGCCTTGAAGATGGACCCGGGCCCCTGTACAGTGACTATATCCGGTACATCAGGAGTCAAGCACCGGGAGCAGATGTGCGCTTCTGGACAACTTATCTGAAGGGTGTTTCGCCCTCCTATTTCCCGCAGCTCAATCTCGATACCTCGAGCGAAAAGCGCCTTGCATCCGTCCAGATGGAGTTCAACAAATTCCCTGAACTGCATGAGCTCTGCGAGAGGACAAAGGTCACGCTTGCGAACGTTATGCACGCCGCTTGGGCTCTGGTGCTGCGGACCTACACTGGGTCTGATGATGTTTGCTTCGGTTACATCACAGCCGGCCGGGATGCTCCCATCAACGGCATACAGGACACCATTGGTATTTTTATTAATATGCTCTGCTGTCGGCTTACATTTTCGCCCACCTCAACGCTGGCCGAAGTCTTTCACAGAGTTCAGGACGAGTACCTCGAAAGTCTGCCATATCAGCGCTGCTCATTAGCTCAAGTCCAGCATGACCTTGGAATGGCCGGAAAGCCGCTGTACAACACCTCCGTTTCCATCCAAAATCACTCTCGCTCCAGCGACGCTGTGGAGGAGACCATTATTTTGGAGCCAACCAGTGCATATGACCCCAGCGAGGTAAGTTAACAATCCATCAATCGTGCTATAAAATCCTTGTTCCTAACGTTAGTCGTCCAGTATGTCATGACAGTAAATGTTGAAACCGAACGGAATGAAGAAGGCGTCATGTTCAGATATTGGACCCATAAGGTGACTGATGAGCAAGCCGCCCAAGTGGCCCATACTATGGCTGAGGTGTTGGACAATTTTATCAGCCGGTCAGCCCAGACTATTGCAGAGCTGGATAATCCCAAGGAACAGACACAGTTACAAGCTGTCGTCGACTCACAGCCTAACCCACAGCCCACTAGTACCCAACTCACAACCGTTCAGAACCAAGTTATCGTCCAATCACAGCCGCAACCACAGACTATTCATGCCCTTCACACAACTATTCCGAACCAGGTCACTGAACCGCCTGTTTTGGATCACCACCATACAACTTTTCCGGATCAAGTGCTCCAACAGCCCATTCTGGATCATCCTACAACTACTCAGGATCAAGTACTCCAACAGCCCATTCTGGGCCATCATACAACTGTTCAGGATCAGGTGCTCCAACAGCCCATTCTGGATCATCATATAACTGTTCAGAATCAGGTTTCTCAAGAGCCCATCCTGAACAACAACGCTGCACTGAAGAAAGTAGTCAGTGAATGTGTTCAACAGGTTATCGAAAGCATGTTCGAGTCCGGGGTTCTCCTTCGGCGCAATGCTGAGATATCGTCAGAGCTCTCGAACGAGCGCCAACTTGCTCTGATTAGCGATGGATCTGAAGACCATTACCCTTTGCCCAACGACCAGCCAATCGAAGTTGAGCGCTACCTTTTTGCCGGAAGCGAGATTAGCAGACGACGTTCCATAGCTACACAGAAAAGCAAGCGAGGACGGTCAGCCGCAATGGAGAAGAAACTGCGGTTAGCATGGAGTTTGATGCTTGACATGCCTGAAGACTCGATATCAGGCGAGGACAGCTTCTTTGAGCTAGGCGGAGATAGCATTACAGCCATGAAGCTAGTGGGAGCAGCTCGTGACGAAGGCTTAGCTCTCACGGTAGCTGACGTTTTCCGTCACCCCACGTTCGAAGACATGGCTGCAATCATCCGGGTAGCAAGTATGATGAGTACCTACCTCACGAATGCCGACCTTAACGAATACAATGAGTACAATGCGCAGAGCAACGGCATTCATCATGTGCCAGCAAGCGAGCTCTATGAAAGATTCTCCCTCGTCAAGGCGAGCAACATTAATGCCTTTCTCCAGAGCAATATCTGTCCAAAGGTCGGAGTATTTAAAGGCGGCATTTCAGATGTGCTTCCGGTCACTGACTTCCAGTCTTTGGCTATTGCAGGAACCCTCCTGGAGTCAAGGTGGATGTTGAACTACTTTTACCTAGAGGGTGCCTGTGCTCTGGACTTGAGACTCTTGAAGCAGAGCTGCTTCAGGCTTGTCCAGGCTTTTGACATTCTGCGGACGGTTTTCTTAGCTTCCGGCGACCGCTTCTTGCAAGTCGTGCTTCGTAAGCTGCGGCCGGAATTCCAAGTGTTTGAGACTGAACAGAGTCTAGAAGATTTCACAGCGATGCTACAACAGAAAGACCGGGATCAAGGGCCTCGGCTAGGGGCGCCTCTTGTTCAATTCACCGTTGCGAAACAGAAGGATAGCAACCGTCATCGGATATTTATCCGCATTTCGCATGCTCAGTATGACGGTGTTTGTCTCCCAAGAATCCTGGCTGCGCTTCAGAGTGGATACCGAGGTGAACCAATATCTGCGACCCCATCTTTCGCCAACTATGTGCGTGCATCAGCAGGAACCGTCACATCGGATCATTATCAACACTGGAAGAGGCTCCTCAAAGGTTCGTCTATGACCGAGGTTGTGCGCCGCAATGGACCAAATTATCGCAGATCCGCCGGAGCCACAATGACCCTGAAACAAAACATTCATCTTCCACCTGTGGCTCACGGTAACATCACCGTCGCAACAGTCGTTAAATCTGCCTGGGCCTTGGTCTTGGCTCAACTCTCAGCTCAGTCAGACGTGGTGTTCGGACACACCATCAGTGGGCGGAACGCCGCAGTCGCCGGAGTCGAAAACATCGTCGGACCTTGCGTCAACGTGGTCCCAGTGAGAGTCCAATTCGAACCACACTGGACAGCGCTCGACCTGCTTCGCCATGTCCAAGACCAACAAGTCGCCAATATGCCATACGAAGCGCTTGGCTTCCGGGAGATGACGAGACATTGCACCGAGTGGCCTGCCTGGAGCAATTTCCCTACCAGCGTACAGCATCAAAATATCGACCAAGACAGGGAGATGCAGCTCGGTGGAAATACCTACAGACTCGGCGCCGTTGGCACTGATGAAGACTTTTCCGATTTCTTGGTTGTCTCTACTCCGCTCGGGGAAGCCGACCAGGTGGAAATCGCACTTTCCTTCTCCCTGACCGGTGCAATCACCACAGATTTCGCAGAAAAGGTTCTGGGCATGATTTGCACTAACGCAGAGAACTTTTCCGCAACCCCATGCACCACGTTGCCTTCACCCACCGAACTTTGTAGCCTCCCCTGCCAGACAGTCGACGACGTGACCACAGATTCGGATGAGCTCTTCCAGACCACACAGCTGCAAAATCTCACCCGTGCAGAGATGCTCGTCCTCAGCGACATCTTTTCACGCGCGTGGCGTCAAGTCTTACGAGACGACAAGGGCGAAAGCAATTGCGAGAACCTGCACCTCGAGGCCTCGTTCTTCGATCTCGGTGGTGACATCATGGGACTCGCTCAAGTAGCATGGATCCTTGAGCAAGAAGGCTTCAGAATCCGACTGGAAGATCTGATTGATCATCCCACTATGCTTGGCCAGATGGCCGCGTTGACTTTGTATAATGCGAGTGCGAGGCAGAAGGAAACGCAAACGACCTCTAGTCCGGTTGTGGGCAGTGAGACGGAGGAGGGTAAGCGTGCCCAATTGAACAAAGCGGGAAGGAGCAAGACGTTTGTCAAGGCGGTTGGTTTGGCCAGAAGGATGGTCCGGAAGAATATGAGGACTACATAGCCTGCGAGAGAGAGAGGAATCATGCACCACTGAGGCAGATCTCTCTGGTCCTTGGCCTTTCTCAGATTAACAGAATATGGGAGATTACGCATGGATATTAGCTGATTGATTTGGGCTATCCTTGTTCATTCGGCGTTTTAGTTGCAATTTCTCTACTGATCTTAATTGACAGTACCGGGTTTTTCATTCCACTGTTCATTCGCGTGGCAAAGCGGATGGAATGTGGTGTGCAAGCCCTCTACTGGCTTTGTATCTGCTTGTATTATATACATGGTTCCTTGTGCTGTTGGAGTTGGCTGCCTTTTTTTCTCTACCTTCAAAGCTAGCAAAAATTCTACATAGCCGGCGCTGTCGTTGAATCTGCGTGGCAAAGCAGATCCAATGACAGTAGCCTCAAAACAGTCTTACATTCGAATAATTCAACGTTAGTACCATAAATTATGTCATATGTGTGCGTAAATTTCAAAATTCCAGTAACGCGGAGAGAGAGAGAGAGAGAGAGAGAGAGAGAGAGATAACGTCAGAGGTGGATGAGAAATTCGAGGATTTGAGACCTCCATCAATGGGGAACGACGGGACCAATAAAATACATGTCTGAAAATTTCTCTGTGCCTTCACTTCGGCGCCTGCACGTCTCATCAGGGGTAGGCGTAGGCGTATCCAGACATCGTATCGGAAGCTGTGGGCGAAGAAAAGAGAAGAGCGTGAGAACCATGCTTAGTGATGTCTTTTGTCTTTGTCCTTATTTGTAGCTTTCCTGCCGCCACGTCGAATCTGATTCTGTGCTGGCAGGCCGGTTAAGGTCACGGTCACTGTCGCGGGCCTTTGCCGACTTCTCCGTACGGGCCAGGAATCACGCTGGGGAGCTCAGCTGTGTCGCGGGGTATCGGAGAGCTGGGTGGACGGGCGGCGGAGATTACGGATGGTGCTGCTTGTGTATCATACGACTTCATTCTGGGAACTAAGTGATAGTTGTTGGATTGCTTTTACGGTTGGATGTGGTGATTACAATGGTGGTATTATTGTCGGTGTTTGTGCCAGGTACAGCCTACAGGAGTAGAGACTTGGAGATGGCCTTGAATGACCGGAATGTCTTCGGACAGGTCCATTCAGAAAGGTCCATTCGGCAAAGGTCCATTCGGCGTTTGAGTCTTGGCAACATCTTACTTACTTGAGAATATTTGTTAGCACGCTGCATCATGGCCATGGCAGGGCTGAGCAATGCCAAGACCAATTGAATTAGACGTCTTTGAGACCTGCGCAGGACATAGATAGTATCAACACGCACGTACACACAGAAATCTTGCTTTGTTCGTCCTTCGTTTTGTCAAATCCACTGTGTCTGATAACTTCTTTACTTGATTTTCTTGATGTGTTAAGTCTTGGCAAAACTTGCTGCAGCCTTGGCAAGCTAATAATTTTCCAACCAATTAATTCAAATGCCGAATGGACCTTGCCGAATGGACCTTTCTGAATGGACCTGTCCGAAGACATTCCGTTGAATGACGGCCACGGTGGAGCGCCAGGGAGGTGCTAGCAGAGGTAGAGGCTTCAGAGGGCTCCATCTCATCTATAGAGATGCTATCGACGTCAAGGATATCAGTTGGAGGTGAGGAGGGCGCAGAAATGGTAGAATTATCCATCTTCAGAAGGAGATACTAATAAATTAAGCAGAAAATACGCAATTTTGAATAATATTTATTCAACTTGGCGGACTCCCCACCTCCTTCTATCTCAATTCTCACCACCAAGCTCTCTATATCTACTACCTATTTCGGTACTGGTACGGTTACAACGGTACAGAGGGTCTCGTATTGTACCGTTGGAACTGCCAGAACTGCCTGTTCCGTACCATGGTACCATTGGTACGGTTGGTACGGTTGTGCTGTTTCCGAACGCTGTGTACTCAGCTAGATAAAACATTTCGAAATGGGCAGAACCATCTTCTCGTTGAAACCATTCCTAACATTCTCAAGCGATTGATGTCCATCCTCATAGGCCGTGAGACAATATTGTACTGCATCACCATACACGTCTCCCATATATATCTTTACCAGCGATACATACTTTTTTTTGCAGCTCCACCAACATCTCCTCCGGCGATCCTTCGATCTTTTCCGTCATCGACTTCAAAGACCTCCAGAGAGCAATTTCAATAAGCACCATGCCGACGCTGAAGTAATCGAACTCCTGGCGGAAACGCACGATGGCATTTGTCGTATCATCTGTGTAGGCCCGGGTGTTGCTTTGGTATACGGGGTGCTGATACTCCATTTCGGTCAGTGAAGAATATTCATTATCATCATTGACGCGGCTGTGGTTGAACCCGACGAAATACGGTTTTGTGAGAGAGGCTGCGACGCTTGGAAAGGCGTCCGGAAAGCAGATGATGTTGAATGCGGATATACTTCTATGCAACCAGCCGCCCCGGTGAAAGCTTAGGACGTGTGAGACCAGCGCGGATGCTATTTTGAAGCTTTGCGTGAGCGAAGGTTGCAGAGTCCTTGACTTTGTCATCTTTAATGCCGTCAATAAGTTAATGGGAACAGTGTTCTGGGCTTCAGTAGGCAGCTGGTATACGATGCCGAAACGAGTTCGTGCAGGCTCGTGGTAGTAGCCGTGACATCGAAGAATGGGAAAGATGGACTCGGAGACGCTCTCGTTGCGTAAGGATGCTATTGCATTGACACGTTCGAGCAGTTCGTCCTCGCGAGAATTCCATGTACCTTCGTACGTCAAATATTCGATGAGGACATACACGCGATTGAGCTCGAGGTTGCCAACTGCATGGGGACCGAGATCGAACCATGGGCCTTTGATGAATTCTCTGTCTAGCTTAAGGCCTTGCGTCTGGTGATCTTGACGCAACATAGCGGAAGCGACACTTTTCATAGTTGCCAGATATACGAATCGCTGGCGAAACTGTTCAGTCGACGACGAATAGCTACTCACAACGGCATGTTGGATTGAGTCAAAAGCCTCTCGAGACTGTGCAAGATTGTCCTTACTCAGCAATGTCTCTTCCAGCCGGTCGAACATAAGATGTCGTACAGCGAGAGTTTGACTACAGTACTGTAGTCGACTTGAAGACTAAAAGATATATTATTCTTGCAGTTTCCGAGTTTCTTCATGATTTCATCCACCTCGTTGCTCTTAAGAGGCCATCTTAAGACGCGCATTCCATAACGACTCATCAATTTATCTCTTGTTCGAGACTCGAGCTTTGTCTCTAGCTGGGCGAGCTGTTTCTGGCAGTCCTTGACTCCCTCACGCAAGCTCTGGGATTCTTAGAGTTTCACATTATTTGAATTATTGCACAGCGCCTGGACCCTTTTAAGGGCTGCTTTCAGTTCTTGAGCCTCTTTTTGAAGGCGTTTGATATTGTCTCAAGCATTCTGGATATTAGCGTTATGCTTAAAGCATTATAAGGCAATTTTTGCGAGTAAATTAATTTATAATAACATTTATAATAAGTCTAAAAGTCTTTATTATTATTATTATAATAAAGCAAACAAAGAATACGTATAATAAATATCTGACATTATAAGTATATATTCCTATAAGAAGCTTAAGCGAGTACAAAGTAAATCTTCTGAAGCGAACAAGCAAGTAACAATAAGACCAAGGCTCATAGAGTCAGAGAGAAGCTATGGCTTTCCGGGGAGACGGCAGCGAAGTCGAGCATGCTCCCTGGGGGGACAGACGAACAGAGAAGGAGAAGAACACTAGGAAAGGAAAAGCTACGCTAATTGGCAACAAATAAAGAAAGACTTGATAGATATTACTAAGGGTCTCAAAAAAGAAGAGGAAAACAACGGCGGAGTGGTAATAAGTGGAAGAGAGCTGGTGGAGCAGCTTAACATGGTTATCGAACGCGTACCACAGGGAACGCGCACAGGAAACGCACAGGAAGGGGTCAAGGCAAGGCTCGACTATATTGAAGCGCTACTAAAGACCTCCCTTAAGGCCACACCTAACCCCTAATCCTAAGGCGCGACCTAAGCAAGTATTGCCGCGATAGAGATGTAGCTAACAGACGATTTGCCTGCGACCCCCCTTATTAATTACATAGTCAGGGTCTAAGCACCTTAAACAAAAGGGTTACTAAATAAGGAAATACTCAAAGAAGTCAAGAAAACAATATCAGGAGCAGCAGCAGTTCAGGTGCTACATAGCAGTAATATTAATATATCCTTACTAACAAAAGCTATAAGGGACAGGGCATAGGCTTTCTCCTTTACTAAGGACTTCAAGATCTTCAGGAGAGATTACTAAGTCAAGATACTAGGGGTACCTTTATCAGTGCTAGTAGTAGCAGAAAAGGAGGCGGATAATACGCTTTTAGTGTAGGCTACCTGTAAAGCCTCTGAATCTATCACCCTAGGGCTCTAGATCACAAGAATTAGATGGCTCTACTCTTACAGAACGCTTGTGCAATGCTTGCAAGACGCACGCGAAGAGCGTATTAAGACAAGGGGATCTCTGATAGTGGGATTCCTGACAAAAGAGATGCAACGCACAACACTCTGCAGAGGGCTAATTGTGGACGCCCAGCTATTTGAAACGCGGCTGTTTGAAAAGTCCCTTTAGATCACACGATGCTTTAAGTGCCAGCAGTGGGGTCACACCTAATACGCATGCGGGAAGCAGGCGTGCTGCGCGTAATGCGCGGGTTAACATGCTACGTCAGAGTGTATGACTAAGAGAGTCTTATGTGCCAACTGCGGCAAGCAGCACAGGGCATGACAGAGCCGGGCATGCCTGGCCTACTAATTATACCATGAAGGTATCCAGCGCAGACGAATCGCACTGTATGTGCAGGCGTATAGCATGCGTATAACTATAGCATGCGGCATAAGTGCAGAAACGAAACAGCTAGCCCTGGGCTAACAAGCACAGAGTGACAAGTAGATGCTAATCTCTCGCAAAAGAATAAGAGCCCAGTCCTTTGACATAGATAATAACTAACGCCGTGCTAGACGACCTATTTATATTAAGCAGGCAGCAAGAAGCTCCTCTTAGCAGAGGCTTACTATTAATTAGAATAGCGCATCTGCATTACAAGTAAGAAGCATAAAAATCACAGGGATAAGTAACACTGATCTAGGCCTAGATAAGCTATAGGCTCTTAATTATCTAATACAACTATAGTAACAGCAACTTATAAGGAAACTGCGCCCTCTTTAATAGCTTTATATAGCCTTAAGTCCTAATAATTTAAGAGCTAATTTTTAATAAATATACTTAGTCTACCTATTGTCTTAAGCCTTATAAACTAGCCTATAAAGCCTGCCCTGAAACTAGGGTGTGCTTTATAATAAGGCGAGATGTAGGTATAATAAACTAGAGGCAAAAGTAGTATAGCCTAAATATAGTAAGTCTGGCCCTAACTACCTAAAACGGCAAGCTAATAATTTTGAACATATATAATCTAAGAGCAGGCGAACTATATATATATAAATAGAGATATATAGCTTACGCCCTTAGTAAGGCTAAGGGAGAGGTCCTGTTACTAGGAGACTTTAATACCTACCACCTTGCTTAAGGAGGCATTAGTACTACATGCGAATAGAGTGCGAATTACCTGCTTAACAAAGCTAACCGCCGCAACCTTAGACTGCTAACCCTAAAGAAGGAGGCAACCTAGAGGAGGGGCATCTGCAGCTTAGTAATTAACCTTACATTCACGTTATAAGCGCTAAGTGATCAAGTAACCTTCTGCAGCCTAGAAGAGCGCTAGGCCCTGCCACAAGACTACATCCTTATTAGGATAGATCTAGACATTTAAGCGCTACAAGAATCGCTAGCAAAACGTACGTGATTCGTACTTACAAAGCTAGACAAGGAAGGCCTTATAGAAGCACTATACCAAACTTAATAAGACTAAACAGAGAGCCTACTACAAAGCATCTAAGAAGCCCTAGAGACCTTACTATTATAATACTGCCCTAGAGCTAGACTGAGCCTAAGGGCACGCCTAAGTTGGTCCCTTAAAGCTAGCGTGCTGCTAGCACATGTAAAGCATATAAGACGTAGGTATACTGTTACTTACAAATAAAGAAACCTCTACAGCTTTAGATAATCTTCTAAGGAGCTAAAGAAGAAGATGCAACGGGTATTAAGAGTGAACTAGAGACGCCTAATTAATGACCCCTAACTAATGCTAAGAAATAATAAAGGAACGACGGGCTTTAAAGGCTCTCTTAGTAGAGTAGGCAGGTAGTAAGAAAGCTGTATACTGACCCTTATATCCCTGCCCTGCGGCGGAATATAAGAGAGGCAAGCTAACTATATCAGACAACAAAAGGGCCTAAATCCTGACAGAGAAATTCTTTCTGGCACCCTAGGTCAGCCCTGCGAACCCCTTGCAGCCTATATACGTGACTTAAGCGAACTAGGCATTAGTGCTTAATAGCTTCGTTTTAGCAGAGGAAGTATTAGTAGTGATTAATAAGCTGCTAAGCGGGAAGGCTGTAGGGCTAAATAGCATCTTAAACGAGGTCCTTAAGGGAATCGCCCTAGAAATTGTAGCTAGACTAGCGTATAATATTCGCATAGCCTTTGCAAGCGATACGCTTCTAACACAGTATAAGGAATTAACTATAATAGTCCTGCGTAAAGAGGGCAAGAAGGACTACTCGCTGCCTGGCAGCTATAGGCTAATTGCCCTAGAGAATATGCTAGCGAAGATTATTAAGAAGGTCCTTACAACTCACCTAAGTAATATAGCGGAATAATACTCTTTGCTCCCCTAGACTTAGATAGAGGCAAGAAGAGACAGATCTATAGCTTCTGTAATAGGCCTGCTAACCTTATGCATTTAAACTATATAATAGATATAACTAGGGAGTGTAGTCTTAATGCTAAGCCTAAACCTCTCAGAGGCCTTTAATAACATCTCTTATAATAAGCTACTAGATATTCTTAAGCAGAAGGGCCTCCTAGATTAGCTTATCTAAGCTATTACATCCTTTTTACATGTAAGGCGCACGCATATTATATATATAGGGTATAAAAGTGACTAGATTAAGACTAATACAGGCATCCTATAAGGCTCCCCTTTCTTACTAATCTTATTCCTATTTTTTATATCTAGTCTGCTAAGAAAGTTCTAAGACCTAGAAAAAGAAATGTTAGGATTTAGCTTTATAGATGACACCTACCTAGTAGTATAGAGTAAAAGCGCACAACAAAACTATCGCAGGCTAACCGCAGCTTATTTATAATACTAATGCTAAGCAGAAGTATATAACGCTAAGTTTGTCTCTAATAAGTACTAGTTAATACACTTTATATAAAGTAGGTGTCATGTATATAAAGACCTTATATTAATTATCTAAATAAATGACTATTAAGTAATAGTTAAGGACAAGGCAATTAGGGTACTAAGGGTATAGCTAGACTCTAGGCTTATCTAAAACAAATATATAACGTATATAACTTGTAAAGGTATTACAGCCTCTAAGGCTCTAGTAAGACTAGCTATCTTTACTTAGGGATTATTAATACGTAATTCATAGCTACTATATACTATAATAGTCAGGCCTACTCTGCTATATAGTGTACAGGAGTAAGGTTTAAGCATATAAGGTGTAAGGGAAGCGTTAGTAAAAGCCACAACTAAATCACTTAAAAAGGCCCAGAATAGCTGCCTCTATTATATCACAAGAGGATATAAGTAAACGCTTAGAGCAACGCTAGAAAGAGAAACCTAAATCTTGCTAATTAACATCTATATTGTAGGCATAAAGCAACATTATATAATCAAAACAAAAGACTATTAAATAAAAAAGGAGATTGCTAGAACAGCGGATGCTATATAGAACCGCATACAGAACGCACGCTCATCACGGCTATGCCACAGGCTAAGGACCAGCAGAGAGAATGCCGCTATTAAAGCGCAATAGAGAATCCAAGAAATGCGCGAGTGGACAGCGGAGTGATAGCGCCGAAGGCGAACCGCATACGCAATAGGCCAGGACTCTTAACCACCTAGGCCAAAGAGACTACCTAATAAAAGGAACCTACTTATTAAATAGGGTAATCTCAAGTGGAAGAAGAGGTGGGCAGCCACGTTATAGAGAAGGAGAGGCTGGCTATAAGCAATAATCTAGTCTACTCCCTGGGAGCAGGACACTCACACGCTATACGCAGGGTTAATGAAGGCAGAGGCAACAGCACTGTTCTTAATGCGGTCAGAGGTCATAGGCCTGAACGCATAGTTAGCAGCTATCTAAGTACCAAATACTAACCCTGCCTGCGCCTGCGGCTGGCACACGCAAATAGTTCGCTATATCCTGCTACATTGCCCAAGATATAACAGAGTAGGCATGCTAGCTGCCTGCAGAACAGAGCGTATAAGCGAGATCCTCTCCTAACCCGCATGCACAAAGCACACGGCTCGCTAGTTTATCCGCATAGGGATCCTAGAGCAATTTCGCATCGCAAAAGAGATAGCAGAGGAGGAGCTAGAAGGGTACAAAGTGTTTAATACAGCAGAGGAGTGGTAACGGCAGAGGTTAAGACCCTTTAAGATATTCAGTGTATGATTAAAAGGATGACTACACAGGAGGGGGCAACAGGTACGCAGGCGAAACGTAGGCGGGGCGGAGGCGCCTCGCAAGGTAATCTCTGACCCCCCTGTGATAGCCGTGCTTACCTAGTCTGGTAAGTCTAGGGTTTTTCTTATTAGGCTTTTCCCTTGCTAGGTAGCTGTCTATTCACTATTCTGATGTTAAATAGACCTGTTTTTTTATTAGTCAATACACGGATACCAAGACAACCTTAATTAAATATACACTAAGCCTAATTAGGAAGTAGCAACACCAACAAAAAAACAACTTGCTCAATGTGCTATACTCAATTTATTCAGAGGGCAAATGACGCGCCCAGCACCTCGAATTGTAACAAATTGGGGTGTTACACTTGCTACAAGACCATTTGGTCTTATGGATACCCGCTCTGCTGCCTCTTTGTGCGTTATTTGCAGCATTAGTAGGCAGTTGCTGAAGTGCTTTGCGCGGTCTGCCTTCTTTTCGACTGCAGATCGGATTACATATCTTGTAGCGGCGATAGCCATCTCCTTTAACCTACGAATGACCCTTATAGCTATCTTTTGGTACTGGCCTAGTATGAATAGCTTGAGAAGGGCGTGGTTTTTGTCGCCGCCGCCGTAGAATAGCTCCAGGTCCTCGTAGTAGAGTTTGCGCTATTTCTTCTTGAAACTGGGTATGGGAGAGCTTTCTGCGTTTTTGGCCTAGCTTATAGAGGATATAAGCGTTTGTAACTGCTACGTCAATAAGCAGATAGAACAAGGGTAGCCAGTTACGTTGATGATAATGTCGACTTACTGAATTATACGAATTCAGCTTAGCGTGGTTATCTGAGCCACCCATCTCTTTATTATAATGCTCAAGAGCATATAGCTTTTGTACATATTGAGGAGCAGAAGGCGTAGGCAGAGCAGAAGGCGCAGGCGGAGCAGATGGCGCAGGCGGAGCAGATGGCGTAGGAGAAGCAGATGGCGCAGGAGAAGCAGATGGCGTAGAAGAAGCAGATGGCGCAGAATTCGTAGAATCTGCAGAAGGCGTAGGAGGAGCAGAAGGAGCAGAATTCGCAGAGAGCGCAGGAGGCGTAGGAGGAGCAGATGGCGCAGAAGGCGCAGAAGGCGTAAAGTTTGCTGTATTGGTAGAGTTTGCAAGATTTGCAGTTTCTGCATCTATAGCGAACTTTAAAGAGGCCTCAGGACGCTTAGTTCTCTCGAAATAGGTATATTCCTCTATAGTAGGATTATGAACAGTGATCATAAATGCCTTGGAAGCTATATCACAAAATGCGATACAATTGATGCTGCCAATCACGCAATTAAACTACTCTCTATAGTTATTTTGCTTCGTCATTGTATCTCGGAGATAGGCCAGCTCTTTCGGTATTCCTGACCCTGCTTTTGCTATTCCATTAGTACTAATCCCAAGCTTATATAGCTATTGATAGAGCTTGCGAGTTATAAAGAAGTGTTGAACTCAAAAATACGGTTTGTGCTATCCTGCTACGCGTTTCATATACGTTTTGTTACAGACCTGTTACGCGTTTCACATGTATTTTTGGTATCTGCATTTCGCGCTATTTCTCTTGATATAGTGTCATGATATGCTAAGCCACATCCTGTAGCAGCTGTATAAGGCAGCTCTACCGAAGGTCACGTCCCGCGGGTGCGATGCGAACTCTAACACAAGCGTTGTGAACACGAAGGCCACATCCTGTAGCCCTGTGCTACTACTGCAAGGGCTACGAAGTGTGGAGGCTACATCCTGTTATGACCGCATTAGTGTTATAGGGATCAGAAGGGCTTTCTCTTAAGTAAAGGGAATGCCCATTCTGACTAAAGGACGTAGGAATTAGTTTACTATTATCCATACACCTACTAGTGGTAATAATCTAAGTCACCGTTGTTGTACCAGTGTTCTACCAGTGCCTATTATTCTGTCAGTCAAAACCTTACATTCTAATTCCTCTTCCCTTGGGGTGGCAGTATAATAAAGTGCTCAAGTACACTATGTCTCAACAAAGAAATCCTTCATGCGCTATAAGCGGTTTAAGCAGGAACCAAGGTGTTAGCGGCCGCCAGACCTGGGCGTTAGCCCCTAGAGACTCTAATAAGTCTACCTTGTCTAAGCGTGCTATACCTGCATCCCCCTTACTATCACTATAATATAAGGACAGTAAAAATAATTATAATAAAGACAAAGTAATAAATAAGGAAGAAGTTAATACTTAGTTAAAAGAATTATAATAAGAGAAATAAAGACTTAAAAAGCAAGTAGAATTAAAACATATACAAAATAATATCACATTACTACACACTATAATAAAGAAGCCAATCTAAAGTATGCCCTTCTTAAGTAATACAAGAGATCTATTACATAAAATGTTAGTGCCTATTAAGCGTGATAACAGCAGCTCTAAAGCTAATAACCTAGCTTATTTATTATTTAAATAAAGGAGAAATCATAATAATATAATTAAAAGCGATAAAGAAAACATTTGCATTATAATTAAGTATATAGTATACTTATAGGCGCCCTTCCTTTATTAAGGCAAGAATTTAAAAGAATATCAAGATTTTATATATAAGTACAAAATAATCTTCTATATAATACTAAGAATTTACTTAATAAATAAGCGTAAAATGATTTATAAAATATAATACTTAAAAGAGGAACCTTAGAGCAAATAAACTAATTATAAGAAGCTTATTAGCCAGAATAATAATATATAAGAAGAATTCTTAGAGTTCTTAAAAGACATTATATAGGACCTAATAAATTGCAGGATAAGCACTATATAAAAGTATTAGGATACGTTCTAACTACTATATTAGTCTATTTATATATTTATTACTTATTTAGAGATTTTAGAGGCTAATTTAGAGTCTTATAGTAATGTATATAAGCACTAGTACTTATTTATAAAAATAAAGCCTAAGATCCGGGTACAAATTATAAATTATTAAAAGATTCCTAAGAGTTACTTAGACCTGGTTTCTTTAGCAGTATACCTAGAAGAAAATATTCAGAATACTAGGAAGACACTGGCTCTGTGCTATATAGGTGAAGTTAATAAAGAAGGACAGGTAGTTTCAAGCCTTACACCTTCTGATAGGGGTGGCGGCTTCTGTGGCCAAGGAAGGGGTTGTAGTCACAGGTATAGCTGTGGCTTGACTCTAGGTCTTCAGGAGCGTACCACCTACCCGAATAACACGCCAGTTCAAGGCAATCAAGGCCAGCAAAGTAACCAAGGCAGCCGAACTACGCAGAACATTGAAACAGTGAAGTATTTTAACTGTTATAAGAAGGGACATTATTCCACAAATTGCCTTAAGAAGGCAAACCCTTCACAGTCAAAAAATGGGCAGACTCACCGCTAGTCGCTCAAGCGGAGTAGATAGATTAAGGCGGAGAGCGAGATCGCTTCATTATCCCGGCGTACGTGCAGCACGAAAACGCTTGGTTGCTAGCAGTCAGAGATCTAATAGACTCCGGCGCTAAAGTAAATTTGGTCTCTTATATCCTTGCTAAAGAATGCAAGTAAAAGGCATTAACTAAGAAGCATATGATTATAGCTGGAATTAATAGAAAACTAATACGGTTCTATAGGACATATAATATTGTAGTTAAGTTAAAAGATAACTAGAGTAATACAAAAGAAATAACATATATATTCTATATAGTCAAAAGTGTGTATTACCTAATTATGTTTAGTTACTTATAGCTTTGTTAAGAAGATCCTTATATTTAATAAGTAATAAAGACCTGGCGCTTTAAACTAGGAAAAGAGGATATTAAAATATTAGACTTTACAGAGTTTAAGAAGCAAACTAGGGACTCCTTAGACATTTTTAGTATTTATATTACAGATATATGTTTTCTAACTCTAATACACTTAGTTAGCGCTATATTAGTAACACTAACCCCTAAGTTGCTACTAGAGTATAAAGAGTATAGTAATATTTTTAATATAGAGAAGACTAATATTCTCTTAGCACATAGCTAGTTTAAGCATATAATTAAGATAGACAGAGATATATTACCTTTTAGACTATTATATAATCTATTATAAAGTAAGCTACAAGTTCTTAAGTAATATATTAATAATTTATTAGCAAAGTAATAAATATATTTATTTATAAGCCCTGCTAATACGCTAGTGCTATTCGTCCTAAAAAAAGATGGCAGCTTAAGACTTTATATTAATTATAAAGGTCTGAATAAGATAATAAAGAAGAATTATTATCCTTTACTACTAATTAATAAAATAATAAATAGGCTAGTAAGGGCAAAAGTCTTTACTAAGCTAGATCTAAAAGATACTTATTATAGATTACGTATTTACAAAGATAATAAGTAAAAGATAGTATTCTGTACTAGATATAGTTATTTTAAGTATCTAATAATGTTATTTAGTCTTATAAATACGCCTGCTACATTTTAAGCCTATATTAATTATATGTTATAAGATGCTCTTAATAATATATATATAATATATCTTAATAATATTCTTATATACTTTTAGATAAACAAAGAGCATATAATCTATATATATATAATACTTAAAAAGTTATAGTAATATAAGCTATATACAAATCTAAAAAAATATTAGTTTAGAATAGAAGAAGTTGTGAGGGATTGCGAATAAAGGCAAAAGCTCTTAATTAGCTACCTATAGACAAGGAGACGAAACTTGGGAGTTCCATGATATAAGGGGGAAGTACGGGTTATTTGTACCCGTCTCTATGCCCTTATCTTTCCTCCTGAGCCGTGCCCCTATCCTTCCTCCTGAGCTGTGCCCTTATCCTTCCTCCTAAGCCGTGCCCCTATCCTTCTTCCTGAGCCGTGCCCCTAGCCTCTAAGGACATTCCTAGTGACATGCTCACTATTACATAACGCTGTACCAAGGCATCACGTGTTGACCTGAGGCTGTAGCCCAGGTCTCTATGAGTTCTACCTTATGACATCACCCCCCCTTCTCCGTCATTTATACTCGTCTAGAGCGACAGTATTCTCCAGAGCGGAAGCTGGCTTCTATAACAGTCTCAAGTAACCTTTCCATTTGACTTTGTATTACTTTTGATGGCAGTATATCCTTTCCTCTAGAATTGTCTTTATCTTGAATTTCTCTTCCTTATTAATAATTATTAATAGTAGCTAATAGTCTTTTAAGCACTATAAAAGAAGGGCATTAATAGTTATTAGCTAGAGCAGGTCAACATTAAATATATTATATATACTAGTAATATTAAGGTGATAGCTTTATAATCTAATTACCTCTGTTATAATATACTTTGCTACTCTATCATCTAACTTCTTAAAGAGTTAATTTATTAAGATATTCTTTAGAAATAACTATATCTTGTTACTAACTTTGTACGCTAGTTAAGCTTTTCTATATTAATTTATTTATAATTCCTATTCTTATTATATGTTAGCTATAGTTAACTAAGCCTACTCTATTATTTGCTTTAGTTTAACTATAATATTATTAGCTTTTTAAATTAGGGTTATTTTTTTATTTATACTATTTAGTTTAAATAACTTTAATAGTTCTAAATAATATCTATGCCCTAAAAAGAATAAGCTAGTCTTTATAAAGATAAAATTTTGTTTACTAAGTACTAATTTTATAATAAGTAAATTCTTTACCTAATTATCTTAATTATAATTAATAAGTTATTATAATATAACCTTAACTTTTATATTTACTTGTTTTGTTACTTTATTAGTCTTTAAGTAATATGCTATTAAAATCCTTTATTAAATACGTAATTATTAATAAAGCCGCTTCCAAAATCTATATATAAACTAAGGCCCTTAATCCGAAACTATTATAATAGAGAGTCTATGCCTTCTGTAATATAATCTAAGGAATATTTTTGTAACTATTTCCGCCTTAGTATCTAGGCATGCTTCTAGAATAACGCCTTTATTTAAGCGATTAATTATTACTAGTAACATCTTATATTAATTTCTCTTTAGTAAAGGCCTTATAAAGTCTATTAATATTTCTCTTTATTGCCTTTCAGAAATTATTAGTAAACAAAACAGCCTATATTTCTTTTCTTGCTAAACTTTTAAATAGCCACATATATTATAGTTTCTTATGAATTAGCGTACTTCTTTAATATAGTTAGGTAGAAATACTATCTTCTTATTAATAACATAGTGCCTTCTTAATTAGAGTAAATTATTAAAGATAAATTATAAAGTTCTTAAATAATTCTAGTTTGAAGAGGTTTGTATTCAGATACTTA